TGGACCTCAAGCTGTATATTAAGCTCGCTAGTCACAATAAAAGCGGGAAAGTTTGTAAGAATTAAAGTTGGGCTATTTCAAATCAGGAGTCTGTCAAACTCATCAGGGGATAATATTACTTGTAAACCATTTAAACAAACCAGTAACAAAACATTGGAAGTAAATGATGTTTGGGGTAATGACTAGGAACCAGGGTGAATGAAATTCTCACTAATATTATCAATAAGACAAGGGTTAAATAAGAAAGTAAGATCCTGGATTGTACTTTATCTGTGCACTATTGCATAGTTTCTGGGGAAATAAATGTATGACTTATTGCGAGTGATTGTTATTCAAAGAAGCCCTTAGCAAATATGAGCTAAGATAAAGCTTGTTGCTTGAATGTTAGTATCACTAAAGTCACCTGGGATTTAGTCGGAATCTATTTTGAATCCAGAATCTACTTTAGATAAAATGAGGGGAAATTTTCCAACATATATATAAACAATTGAACACAAGAAGTGATATTCTGTGGATTTTTATATAATGTATAAAAACGACTCTATTTCTGTTTATTAATCTACACAAACATTACACAATTCAGTACTGCCGAGATGGTATATCAAGTAAATAATTTCTCAACCCAGACATGCATAAAACAGCACAGCTAATGGAGTTCAGTTAAACAATTTGCAATAAAGCCTAAAATGTGTATTTTTCCAAAAATGTAACTCAGCAGTGCAATTTTATATCATCCCTGGTGGGGTTGAAATCAGCTCTCTATACTACTCACATGAAAAGTGGAACATCATTTTGCCACTATCAGACTATGGTACAATTGGCAAACAAACAGGAAACAGTGTTTTGAAAATATTCTAGTATCTATACTCAATGAATAAAAATGTGGTTAACATAGAATTAGACCAGACATGGAAAACTAGAAGGGGAGGGGGTGTCTTAAGTCCGAAAATGGGGTTCGAATGACCATGACCCTTAAAGTACTTCAATGATCAGTTGTTTGACAATGGTCCCATAAGCCCGTTATTTCACCTTTAAATTACCCAGAATTTAACATACAAATATACAAAGGAGTATTTCTAGTGTATCAATGAAATTTACCCTGTGAACAAACTAAATACAGTCCCAAACTGGATGGGGGGGATGTCGTATAGAGGTGCCTATGAACCCCAGGAATTTGCAGTTGACTCTGGTTTAGAGCAAGTTACATAAGGTTCGTAAGGACCGTAACTTTTCGTACACCTTGTCAAATATTCCTTAACGATTCCCTGTGGGGATGTTGTATAGAAGGTTTCATAAGAAACCCCGGGAACTTGCTTTCGACGCTGGTTAATAAGTTACATAGGTTCTTTAAGACAAAAACTCTGTGTGAAACTTTGCGTTAACCTTGTCAAATGTTCCTTAACAATCCCTGGGACAATTTTAACATGGGATGTTCACAAGGCAAATAAATAAAATTAAAGAAGAATCAAGTGTACAGATAATTCTTTTCAAAGACTAAAACTCTGCAAAAATACAATTAAATCAAGTCAATTACCTTTACCAACTCGTACACCTAAGTTGGTTTATCTGCGGCAATATAAATATCCAATTTTAGTGACGATTTAATGTTTAAAATTCCACAAAATGTTTTCCTTGTCTGGCCGGCTTGAATTCGAATCATAAAAGCACAGAAAAAGACAATTCACTTAAATCGTGCTTATTTACTTAAATCAAGCTTAATAAGCCTCACTTTGGATTTTGAAACAAACCCAGACAACTGCCCTTTCTAAAAAGTTTGTAACATAACATTAAACATGAAACTGGGCCTAAAACATTCACATTAAAGTCTTATTATGAACAAAATATATATGTTGACATTAATCCTGTAAATAATATTACATTAAAAACACAAGAGAAGGTTAGTAAAAATAAATATAAATATAAATATAGAGTAAAATGATTAAACTCTAACCATACTTTAAGAGTATAGCCAAAGTAGAAATACTGACTACCCTTTTACAGAATTTAAATTATTTTATAACTCTTTAAATATTGAGTCACTAAAAGCACAATTGATAAAGTGAAGAGCAAAAAGTTGAACAAAGTGACAATCCTTCAAGGCAATTCCATTACCATGCTCAAAGTAATCTGAAGGATCGTCACATATGCTTATTTTTTGATTTCACTTCATTTGGTATTATTCCAGAGAAATTTCTTGTTATCATTCTAAATTTGCGTCTATTTTCGGGATTTCTTTCTCATCTTCATCTATTTCTTCATGATGTTCTACAAGGTGGTTTATAATGATTTGAAATTTAGGAGTTCGAAATGAAGGACAGTAAAATCATCTAAACCACACCACTCTGAAATGCAAAGGACATGTCATTAGAATCCACATGGTAAAATCACTAACTTGGCTGATCATAAATTGTTTTCATAGCATCCTTCTTACTCGATACTGAAGGGGAGTTGGAACGACTGATATGCATGTAATGTTAAGTATTACGTACATTAACCATAGGCATGTCAATTTTGTGGTTTTGGTAATCTAAAAACAGAAAAGGTGAAATATACATTTTCGTTCGGCGGGTTTTTGATTTTGCTTCATTTATCAACTCAGTTCAGGTATTTCGGTTGAGCCAATCACTGAATCCTGTTGCCAAATGAATCTTGAGTCTCTTATACAGCATATGGAATACCATCTGTAGGTAAAATGACGTTAAGGTGGTAAAGAGAAGAGAAACAAACATACCTTTCCTCCGACATTTCAAATTTTGCGCATCTTGTCGAGTCTTTCATCACGCACTTTTAATAGTAGGCGATCACTGTACATACAGTGTAAATCAGCGCGAAAAAAGATTAATTAGCGCTGATTTAGCATGGAGTTATTTTGGCAGTGTACATTGACACTGTGGTTTATTAAACCTAAAATCAACGGTTATGTTACGTAATCCATAGTAATGCAGTGCACCCACGTACAGAACCATTTGCAAAAAAACTGAGGATCTGAAATGAAATTACTCAATTTATAAAAAAGGGATTTTCAGTATCAATTGAAAGAGATAAAACATAAGTAATCATGGTAAAACAAAGGCCCAATATTTGGCATGGACATGTGGAGGTAAAACAGTTTTTAACTATTTCATATCTTTACTAAGAAACGAGAAGTACATTTTATATGATAAAATACGGAGGAATTATTAAAATTACTTTGTCTGTTATGTTCAATACATTGTCAACACTATAAAATAAATCATGTTAAAAATGTAAACAATGTTACTGCTTAATGGACTATAATATGTCATTATAATGACATTGGAGAGCAAAAACAGGTATTTATTCATAATTAACCTGATATTTCTATATATTCTTAATAACCTTCAAAAGAAGTAGGACTGACTGATCATTATCCCAAATTCGAAATAATAGATCCCCGAAAAGTTCATACAAAATTTTAATCATGAAATTATAAGACTACAACGGCACCGTACGGTACCGTATCTCCAATCGGTACCGTATGGTACCATATTAAAAATAATAAAAAAGCAATACGGTACCGTACGGTATCGTATTCTCACGGTATCGTACGGTACCATCTACACGGTACCGTACGGCACCGTGTTCACGGTACCGTACGGTACCATGGCTAAACGGTACCATACGGTACCGTTGGAGATTGACTGTGTACAAGACCGATAATAGGGTGAATCGGAGCTGCAGGCCTTACTATTTATACACGTTTTTTCTGTTTCGGAAAATTCGATATGTGATGTAAATTTCCTAGTTTTTCAAAAAAATGTATATATATTTCGTCATAGTTTTATCTTTACATCGAAAATTCAATCACCGCCATCACTTTTGAAACGAGTTACCTTGAAATATCAAGATGTCATGCTATTCTCAAACTTATAGAACTTAATGTGACTGTCATTCACCATTGATTAAGCAGTAAAAATTTATTTGCTCAATGGGTGACAAATTATTTTAAGTTTCCTGGTGAATGTAGAGTCTGGCATCATACGAATGTGATTTTAGGCGATCTGTCGCCATGGGGTGAAGTACAGACGTAGTAATTTGCAAAAGCTTTTGCAATATGCAAGAATTTAAGCACATGATGACTTAATTAATGAATTATGGATGATTTATATGGCAGGTACTCATGTATTGCATCCTAGACTTTGACTTTGGACTGCCACCCTCTTTCAAAGGGTCTCGATCTTTCAAAGAACATACATGACATAAATCAGACTACAATTCATTGAGTACTGGGCTTAAACTCATATCATGCTGCATACTGGTCAGCAATTATGTCAAGCCTTAAATGCAGGTGTTTATGATAATTTTTTTTAGATATTTGGTCTTAATCACTGTTGTACTACTAGTTACTTTGACGGAACGTCAATGTAACAAAATGATTGAGGTTCCTGGTTACGAGTTTTGTGTTTTCTCGATTTAAACCTACTTATAAGTCAAGTTGCAGATTATAATTTGGCACAAAGCTAGAAAATATAGTCTAGTCCTAATAAGTTTCGTTGATTTGGACTTTGTTTTGTAAATGAAGTTGCAATTAATATATTTGGCCCCTCGCTTTTGTTAAAATGACGACAGTCCGTTCCAATGTATGTTACTTTAACAACTTACATCAATGTAACAAAAACGATGGTCTAAATGCCTGAATTACAGCTTTATTTAAAAATCAAAGTCCAAACCGAGAGCATTTCTAAAAGCTAGACTATATTGTCTAACTCTGTGCCAAATGATAATTCGCAACATGACTTACATGTATACGTAAGCTTAAATCGAGAAAACAAAAAACTCGTATTCAGGAAGTTCATTCATTTTGTTACATTGACGTTCCGTCAAAGTACCTAGTTGTGCCGGGAACAGTGTTAATAACGAATGTCACGAATTTACATTGTTTGTAAACTAAAACTGCCAAAGAATCGGTACAAATCAAAACGTTTTAGTAAAAATCAATATGGGCATTTTGACTCCTTTATCTGTATATAATGTATTTCTAGACCGAAGCTGGCACTGGTGACACCCTAGCAGACGATGATGACGTCACTCAGAGAACGAATGCAATTGGTGCCAACGAGACAGAGCCACTGATTCCAAAGAGAAATGATGACCAACCAATAAAATGCATTGATTTGTGTACTTTGTTGACTCTTATTTTCATTTTTATTGGTCGAGTAAGTTATTTCTTGATATTGACCTAAGGATTTTTATAAAGGTCTCATGTTTAGAAAGTGGAACGATTTTGGAATACAGGGTCTAGTTTTTAATGGTCTAATATGTTCAAGAATTAGTTTTCAATCAAAATGATTTCCATCGGGATATTCAAAGTTAGATTCCATAACTGTTTTGATTCACATGTTTTTATGATATCATTTTAAGTTATATACCATCTGATTTAAAATGTAAAAACGTCTTTAACCAGGGTTTATTCCATTTTGAACGACCCTGAAAAATTTCGGGATAAAAATCCATGACACAATTGAGACAATTCGATTTACGTTTCAGGGTTTATGTTTAGACTCTCTCGGACCCACTCTCCTCGATTTAATACAAATATCGGGAACCGATATCTCAGTTTCCTCGTATATATTCATCTGTCAATCGACAGGGATTCTGTTCGGCTCACTAGGTAATGTGTCTATCGTCAAGCCTATTAACCCAGGTCCCTTGCCTAGTTTACTACATGTAATCAGTCAATTCAATTTAAAATGGCGGTATAACATTTTCTAATAAAATGTCGTTCATAACCACATATCTAAATTAAACCTTTGATTAAACATTTTTTGAAAGGACTGGTATCGATATGGTGAACTTAATTCAACAATAATTTTCTCTTAAACAAATTGTTGAAAACATTCCGTAAAAACACGGCCCTTATGTTGACTGATTGACAACTATTAATTGCGAAAATTATTTATTAGATATATTTTATATAACTGATTTTGTTAACATTTTTTTTGTTTTTTTTACTGAATTGTTTTTTTTCATTTTTACCAAATCTTGAGAATGGAAATAAATATCTTTCCGAACCTTGTTGGAACAAAATAGCATATACAACATTTTCTTAGACCTCTCAATATTATACAAGGTTATACAAGGGAAATTTTGGTTGATTTAACAAAAAGTATTCAAAAATTAAAACAGCCAAAATAGATAGAAATTAAGATAAACATTTTATTTCATTAACAAGATACTTTTTTTAAATCAACCAAACTTTCCTTCGTACAATTACAATGTTGAGAGACCTAAACACGCTGTGTTTATGTCGTTCTGTTCCAACGAGCTCGAGGTTCGGAAAGATGTTTCATTTCATTGCATCCCGAACATATGACACCAAGAACGAAAGAAGTGTCTGATGTGTTTTCTAAAAGAATATAGAGAAAAATATACATTTGTTTCAAATTATATTGACACCATTCAAAAGGTGACCATCACAGTGACGATGTGTAAAATTTTCAGAATTTTTTTTGGTTTAAGTGAAACGTGTGTTCAAAAATTTCACCATATCGACACCAATCCTTTATCAAGTAGACCACTCACATATCAGAGTGGTTTAAACTTTCTTTGGGGCCTTCACGAAATGTCGCACTTTGCTTTATTTTATAGTAAGCCCGTATATCTATGGCCGGTTTAGGGAAGGAACAGGCATGTTTATCGTGCTTCTGCTGCAGGGTTGCTGCACTGCAATTGTTCCACTCTTCCGAAACTTCATTGTGATGTGTTGTTTGTTCCTTGGACAGGGAATCGGGATTGGCATCACGGGAGTAGGTAAGACTACAGATATACTTTAGATCTGTAAGACGACCGATCTGCTTTAGATGTGTAAGATAACTGATCATGATCAACACAAGATCTATATGACAACAGTCAAAGATCTTTACTCTGCAACGATCCCTTCTGGATCAAATCCGTAAAATGTACAGGGTGGCAAAAATGGAAACTCTAACACCATTTTCATCATATCTTTGTCATTTTAAGAAATAACTCCCTGATATCTTACACACTTGGACATCATTCAGTTTGCTACACCAACCTACCATCATGGCCATCAGATTGATATAGTCACAATGTTACAGCACTTTAAAGGACATGCCCCAGTGACCACTATTGCGCTGTCGGGAAACCTGTACTCGTCGTCTGAAATTTCCCTACCTGTGGGGATATGACAGAGATATGAGAATGACCTCAGGACAATTGCAAACCTCAACAGTGAGATCATTAGTGTCATTCAGGCCATATCTGCTGAAGAATGCATTTGGTCCATTGACAACTGTGCATGTTTGCCTACAGCGCCATGATGGCCAAACCGTAAGCATGTTATTCAAAGTGCTGTAAAATTGTGACTATCAATCTGATGGTCATGAAATATGATAGGGTGGTAGGAAAGTGAATGATGTACAAATGTGTGAAATATCGGGGTGTAACTTTTAAAATGACAAAGATATAAGGAAAATGCAGGGTTTTCATTTTTACCACCCTGTACAATATTAACTTAACATTTTCCATTTATTATTCAAGTTTTAAAGTCCAATTTTTCTCGGTTGTGTTTCAGGAGTATGTCAGATCTGTTTAAAATTAGGTGGGCAGAGATATAGTGGTACATTCCTCCAAGCTGTTTACTTCGGCGTTTCCGTCGGAGGAATAATTGGTCCACTGATGGCAGAACCTTTTTTATCCCACAAAGTCAACCTGACAGAATCCATTCTAGAGGTGCCTTGGAACTTGTCAACCAACAACACCAATGCAGTTATCGAAAGAGAAACCCAGACAAAGAGCAACGTGTTGTGGTTTTACATCATAGTTGGGTGTATTGTAGCCCTACCTGGGATACCGTCCCTGTGCTTGCAGTATGCCATACGACTCAGAGGCGACCAAAATAACTTGGATGACATGGATGCGAATGACGAGAAGCCAGCTGAACCAGAGGCAACGTGTGCAACTTATGTTTTACTCGTTCTCTTGTCCATGTTCGTTGTTCTATACTACGGGATGCAGGATTCACTGGCCAATCTCTTGACGGCATTTGCTGTTAACAGCAAGCTTCAATTACCCAAATCAACGGGCAATTTATTATGTTCGATATTCTGGTTCTCAAGTGCTGCAAGTAGACTATTTGGGATATTATTCGCCGGTCGCTTCTCAGCGCTTAGTATGCTTACAGTTGACCTAACACTTTCCGTTGTTGCAGGGGTTACAATGTCATTCTTCGGGGATTCCAGTCCAGAAGTGCTGTTAGCATTTGTGATAATGTTTGGCATCAGTTGGGCAACTATCAATGGTGCCATAGTGTTTTGGGCTTCAGATCACATCTTACCAAGCATGTATAATGTACGCGTTGTATTCGTCTCCAGGTGTTTAGGGCTAATGATTGCGCCATCTATTGTGGCAAATTTGTTTGATTTACTTGGGCCAATGGTTTTGATGTATACCATTGCCTTAATAAGTATTACCATTTCAGTCATATTTATTATAATGCAAATTATTTATTGGAAATATATTAAAAGAAATTGACGTTGTATGAATAGGCTATAACCTTAGTTTGTGTTAACATCGCTATGATTTGTGGTAGCTTTTTAATGAAAAATATCACGAAAGTGTGACTTCAGTTTTAATAAATGAACACAGTCGACCTAAGAATTGTAAAATATTATTAGAAGAAATGTGTTTACATATAGATTCAATATGAACCAAGAAGCAACATGTCTTTTGATTTCATTATTCTTTTTTAGTACAATAACGAGTGACATAGCTTTTTAGCTCCTAGTCATAAAACATTTGCTTAAATGTTTTTAAAAGAGCCACAGGCTCTGATTCGACATAATATGTTGTAATCTCAAACTAGTTCATCTTCAATTTTGAATAGTGTTTTTAAGACGCTTAACATATTCAAGATCCAAGTTTATTATTGAACTTTGGTTACCCTAAACCTACATGTATTTTAGAAATATTGTCATCACAACCGTTGTTGACATACTGAGCCATACTGTTATAGTCTTTAACTTTTTGAGGACAATGTTCGGCGGTTGGCGTCTAGTAACAAATATGGCAAGTGGTGATATTTCGTATGTTAATGCTTTGTAACATTAATGTTGACTCTATGATCAACTGCAGAGTTAGTTTCGAATTCTATTCCAACAATAAATCATCGAAAAACAAATAACCAATACCACGCATTGCATTCGTATATGTTGCAAGATCTCTATGGTCTTACCGGGGGTCTTACCCTTTGCATTCGTTTGACTTCACTTCTTAAAAGAGAGCTTCGTCTTCAGTTTAGTTCAGTAGTTCTTGTAGTTTAACTAGACTCTGCGCGCAGGGTACTATGGTCTCAGGGTTTCAAAACAATCTAACATCATTTTCATTTTCATAATTGTCAAAGTATAACCTCCGGGTTTGTTGTGTAGCTATAATAATGTTATCGATCAATCTTCTTGTGTATGTCTTCTCTAGATCTATCTTTATATGAGATGGTTTAAAGTCTAAAACTGAACTTACAAGTACAAGAAGAGCGTTTTCACAATTTCAATGTGCTGCTGTCAAATCCGAGGCACTATTTAAGCATTTATATATTGCAATATACCCCAGTGTGTTCATCCAGGTTGGCCAACATAAGGGGAGTACATCCTCGGTCCAGGGGTATTTCACTTCTTTCTGAATTAAGTAATAAATGAAGTCCTTGGAATGAATTTATTTTTTCATCCTTGCCTCGTCTTGCAATGCACAAATGAAAAAAAGTAAGACCCTATCAATTTATACATCATTGATTATTAATAGCGATTTTTGTATTATTTGGAATAGATAGGTAGTTGTCTCTTATCTGTCAATATTCGACATTCTTTAAAAGATCGACACAATATTTTCTGTTTTGGTCTTAAAATATACTCAATGTACTGTGGTGAAGGTAGCAGCATACGGTGACACAAATAGTCCTCGGAATCGGAGTCCTCTTTTATGACAGATTGAATATATTCATCTGAAAGTCCTAAACCTTCTGAAGTATACCTGCATCTATTTTGTAAATTATTTAGCATTGCTTCAAATTCACTCAACTTGTCATCAAAGCTCTTTCCCATTGCGCTAATTTTTCGCCAAAGAGTTTTGTTAAAGAATTCAAACATTGCATAATCCGATGGACTATGCATTTGGTAGTTTTTCTCTGCGAGGGTCATGTTTGAACTGTGTTCAAAACTAGTTGTTGATTTTCCCCCTAGTTGTCCGTCAGTAGATACTTTATGGGAGACATATAGCATATCCTCCATTGACCAGCAGAGGAGCTCGCCTAGCAGTACTATCGATTCCTTCATATGGTCAGTTATCAGAATCAAATCAAACATAGAATCGACATGTAAAATAAATTCATCTATTCCTTTAGATGTTGTATCTTTATCCAATTGTCCATAATATAAAGATTGACGATTGCGTTGCACTTTTAGATCTGGATACTTCCAGGGATTTTCTTCAAAATCAGCCAATGAAACGTTGTTCCCTTTCGTTATAATGCCCTTTTCGGCATAATTATAATATGATTTGAGGAACCCAATAGGGTTGCGTAGCACCCCGATATATAAAGTGTCTCTTGGCATTAAATGCTTCATGAACTTTTCATTAAATCGTACATGATTTACAATAAGGTTGACATCATCACCAATGTGATCCCTTATTTCTGTAGAATGAATGGTCGAATTTCCAGCTTTTGGGAATAAGAATCTCAGATTATGTTTTTCACCATAGCGTTGAAATATGTTTGTTATTGTGGAGCCACCACATTTTGGAACTTTGATAAAGACAATATTTCTAGCTGGTGTACATGTTGATCCAAAATATCCATATGCAGAATGGATAGACCTAACTATATTGACGTCGGCATCAAATATTGATCCAACAAGATATACCTGTATAAACAGAAACGTTGCACTCAGAAGAAGAAAGATCCGAATTGGAGTCAATCTTGCCATTTATTGCGTCGGTTTTTAATAAATACACACATGCGTTTAATACCAGACGTTTAAAACTTCAGTATGATCTTCTCTACGTCTGTTACTCCAAGGATGTGAAGGGTGGCACTTTTGAATCTATTTAGAATTGATGATTAGGTAATGCTTTTAAAAGCCAAAGTAATATCTACTATTATTCGAAAAACTAAGCGTACTCACAAAATATTTTGTTGTTGTAATAAACGGTACAATATCATTTAGATATTAGTATGTAAATCCATCACTTTCATCCATATGCTATCCATAAAATGGAATTCCAATCTCGTAAAAAATAACGTACTTTGTGCTTATTTATTTGTATAAAAAAGATATAATATTTACATATTTACCATGTACTCAAAGTGAATATCTTTTTATGTGTACCACTTTTACATCCAAATGCTATGTGTAATTATAAAAATGTTATGCCAGCCTTGTTACTGTATATCTTTACAATCCTGTCATTGTATTCACGATTCATAACACGTACGATAATGCAGCAATTACACTGATTAGTAACAGAAGGTGACGTCCGTTATGTACACTCGCTTTCAAAATGGCGGATATACATGTAACTTATAAAGTTTGTGTTCTTCGTTATCATTTTCGCGCATCTCTATATATACGTCCATAAGAAGCCATTGATTAAAATAATACCATGGCTACTGGGTTAACAGGGTGAAAGTGCATTAAAAAGACCATTTATTGCAATAAAAGTGGTGGCCATTTTTAATTTTACAAGATATTTTGCTATAAATTAGCTGCTTGTTTAATTTCAAACAAATCAATGCAATATGTTTGGATGCATAAAATAGAAAAAGAAATTTCGACAATAAAAGTCGCAACTATTTCGAATCCTTGCGTGTTTTGTTGAAACTTGTAAACATTAGAGAGATTTCGCAACTCACTATATGTTAGAAGAGTTTGATTACATGAATACTTTCTGGCCATAAATACAGTGGTTTTTATTAAAACAATATGTTTTCTCATGATAGTAAAATATCAATCCAACTCTCTCAAAAATTATGGATTAGGACCCCACCTTGGCACTTTTTAAAAAATGTTAGGCTTATTTTCTAAAAAGAGGATCTTGTTTTTCTCAATTCAAACATATCGAAAGTTTGTTCTATACTATGTCAACAATTTTTTAAAGGGGGATGGGTATTGAAATGAGTTAAAGTTAAAAACCCCATTTCCCATGTCATTTTCAACGAGTTGAACTGTCTGAGGACGTACATGTATTGAGAACGAGGTAGAACTAATTGCAAACGGGTTAAAACTGATCAAGAACGTATTTATCAACGAGTTAGCAAAACTATAGCTATCACACAAAGCAAGTTGCCACTGCGCGTTCTTCAAAACTGGTTATAAACTGTGTGCGAACGGAATGAACGTAGCTACAACGTTCTACGGTCTGTTTACGAACTTCATGGACTTTCCCGGACGGGGAATGTGAATTAGAATTTTGTATCGATTCAAAATTCGATGGCGACCATACCGTTCTGTTATCAGGTCATAATGACCTTCTAGACTAAGGGACGCGTTATACAACGTTACACACCGACGTGGTGCGACCTGAACGAACTGCGAATGAGATGGACGTATTGAAGACTGTTTATGAAGTTTATTTTAGACATATTTCCCGACCACAGCCAGATTGAGCCCGTTTTAAGACGTTTTCGTAGGACTGGCAAGAACGGGTAAGAACTAGTTTGGTGTGATAGGGGGGTAATAGAGAGGTCTACAATTGTTTTGTTAGTCAGAAGAAACTTATAATACACATATAGACGACAATCATCAATCATGGCTTCATTTCACAATATCTTTTCTCCGACGCCAGCGATACTTTTTAAGAAAATCTGAAGACATTGATAGGTAAATTCTCTGTTTTCGGCACATTTCTGCGGACTCACTTGTAAATCAATGTTAATTTTACGTTTATAATTGTATTTTTGCTACTTGTCATCTAGCAAAGTCCATGATTTCATCAACGTTTACAAAATGCCCGTCTACCATGTTTTTTTTCTGTAAACATTATGACGTCATATTCCCCATAATTCAAAAGTGGAGTGCAGTAACATTCGCGGTCATTAATATGATATCCCATGATGCACATGTGGGGTAAAGGCAAAAATGTTGACCGCTAATTGACCAATCAGATGCGAGTATTTACACTGAGGTACTAACAATGAGGATGAAATAATTTGGAAATACAAAAGCACCAACACCTAACATTGGGTTCACTTTATAAACTGATCTTATTAACTTCATTCATAGAAAAACTTAAGAGCAAGTTATTTGGAAATGTAGGTTTTTATGACATAGTTCCATTTTGACATAGTTCCATTTGGCTTAACAAACAAACATCCTTGGCCTTGTGTTTATAGAGGCATTCAGCTTGGTTTTAATGAAACGCCTCATATGGCACGTATCATTATGATACCAACACGTAGAAGACATCCAGGTAGGGTAGGTACATTACATTAGATTACAATCCAATATGGCACAGGATTACAGCAAATGCTATCAAGGATTCCAAGCAATTCTGGATGGTGATAAGTATGAGTGTAAGCTGGTTGAGAAGTCCAAGAAGAAAGCAAAGGAGGAACTCCATGAGGATGACAAAGAAAGGGATGCTGCAGTTGAGCAGTTGAGAACTTGGATCAAAGAGCAGCCACATCTAACTGCATGCACAGGTGAGAGTTTATGTTTTCCATTTTCCTATACTACATGTACTATATACCATGGGCGTAGCGCTATTTTTCTAAGTAGTACGCCACCACCACAGGAACAAGGAGTTAAGTGAATCAAAAAACGAGCATTCAGGGGGGTCTGGGTCAGGAAAATTTTGATGTATTTGGTTGTATTCGGAGCGAATTTGCAACCATCTGGTACGCCTGTGCGTCTCCAGCGTACCGGGCGCTACGCCCATGTATACTATGAATTGAAGATGTCCGAACTATTTTGTTTTAAAAACAGTTTTTTATGTATCCAAAGTACGACATAAGTCAAGAACTAGAAAACAGCAAATACGGATTAGTAAATCTCATCGAGCAGGAAATATTTTATTAATACCTCGTCATTTTTGGCATACCATGATAGAAACAACCAGGAAATAGTACAGTATTGCCTTGGCAAAATTGACACCTATGATGTGACGTGATGATTAAATTCTTTCTTGAGCAAAGGTCTTTTAACCATAAAACATTGGAGTACACAGTTTGGACCAAACCTGGTGACTGCTAACTTCTATTTGAGCAGAGGTCATTTGCCGAGAAATATTAGCCTATAAATGGTTTCACCACTCAAAACCACTTAAGTGTGAAATTAGATTTGTTAAAAAGTGAAAAAAAATCTAAAATATTTTTTTCAAATAGACATATAGTATATATCTGTTTCTTATCATTCCCCGCACTTGCTCTTACAAACTGAGCAAAATAATCATTTATTTAGCAATGGCTGCGTATAGACCATTTGTCATTTTCTTAACGTATGAATATTTAAAAACATGATGTTTTTCTGTGCAAATACTATCGTTAGGGTTTATTGGAGTGATTTAGCTGGGTTGCCAAAAAATTAACAACGGAGAAGTTTTTTGTATCTATCACCATGGTAACATACCAGGTACATGTTGGTATCCCGACACTAAGTCAATAGTCAACGCCATGTTAAGCCAATGCACCCCTCCCTAATTAGCCGATATACTTTTTTCCCCAAACTAACTTTTTGTCCAACCCAGTTAAATCACTTCAGAAAACCCTTGTTATTATAAATTTACCATAAAACATCGTGTTTTTAACAATTCATAGGTTCACTATAGTATGTATAGGGGTGACAAATGGACTAGTATGCCGAGAGTAACGTTTAGTGATGTCTATGTGAGTACAATGAAATTTGGTTATATCGTGGTTAGCTATTTGGTCCCGGAGACCGTGTTAACGTCTGAAACTGCCTCTGACTCAACTTCGGCCTACCAACCTGAAAAAACCCTTTATAGGGAAACATGCAGGTGGTTCACCCGCCTGAATGAAGCTTATTTCCTAATTAAACAGTCTTCACCACAAACCACACAACATAATATCACATATATTATAGGATTAAATTCGAGCCAGCAGCCCGCGTTTATTGGAATAGCATTAAGTACATCTGATACAAAGAATGAGTGAAAAAAAGAAAAAATGTAGCCAGGTCGCGATGCATCCAGGTACCTATGACGGCCACGATGCCAATGTCATAGCGGCCACGATGCCGATGGCATTAATGCCAGAAACCTCTTAGGTTCAAATATACCCAACATCCGTCCTCGGCTCCCAACCTCGCTGCTAATTTACGATGTTTAACTGCCTTCAAGGCATCAATAAGACACCGTGTGCCTAATTAAAACATCTAAATCCAACAACCCATCCATATCTAATGATCAACTGTCATTAAAACCATTGTGGCTACACGTTTGTTAACACGTCAAAGATCTCAAATTAATTCACAAATTTCGGAATAAACCAATTCTAAATTGTGACTATCTGTCAACTTGCAATATAAAAAACTTGTATAAGGACCATACATGTATATAGTGCCTTCTAGCACTATGCAAAATCTGTGAGTAACATGCCTCACTATCTAATACAGTAATCACGCACTGTCATTAATACATAACAATAATCTAAATCACTGTCTACAGACTTGCACTGTAACCATAACATTCCCTTTTGGCAAAACACGTAACTCAGAAAGTTAATGAAACTTCCTTCCTTAATAGACTGTCGTAATATGCGACATTGTTGGTCACAAAAGACAAAAATTCCGTGATTATCACAAGAATACACGACCGGACTACAAAAATCATACGATCTTCTAAAACTATTGTGATGAACAATATAATATCTGGAAAGCACCATGCTTTGCAAACCTTAATACAAACTTATCTCGTATTGCAACAAAAGCAAAAGAACAATTCTTCGAAACGTTGTAAATCTAAATACTATCTGTTTAATATAAAATGCAATTAGTTGACAAGCACTTCTCTAATGTGTTTGTCACACTGATATAACACAACTACTGTAAATGTTGTAAAGGAACACAACTATCATCTTAAATTACCAAAATTGATGCCCTTCTGGATATAGATATTACATATCTAATAAAAATATGAAGGACTTTCGGATATAATCAATATCTTTAAAAGCAAAACTTTGTGCCTTCCTTGAAACAATATGACAGAAACGCACTTAAATACATATTTATTCACTTAGATTCAATGCGCTGTCAGTAAAAAGCCATGCCTTGAGTTTCAGATTTATATGCACATTACATAATTGCTTCTTAGAAACCTAATATCTAAATGTTTTAATTAACTTAATTAACATCCTATGCTATGCAATGCTTTGTAATAATTGCAGAAAAATATACTTCCCAAAATAGTAATTATTGGGAACAGGTTACATCAACGTCAGAACATGTATACTTCATTCACAAACGTTGATTTGGTCAATAGCACTAAAGAAAGTGTTCATTGACTTCAATATGAAAAACTTTAGTTGATCGACCTGACACCGTTAAAACCCAGATCAAAATCTTTGTGACTTTCGAAAGGGAAAAAGGTATGCCTCCTCGAACAATAAAACTAAATTTTCGAATCGGTTGTATGACAACTTACAACATTAACTAAAACTGTGTATAAACGCTTCGGTTGCTACTCGCAGAATAACACGATCCCATCGTGCATCCACTCACATAACCTACTCATGATCACATCATGTTATCCAATCAGTTGAAATCGCGTTCGATTTCACTAACGCTAAGACGTTATATCAACCGGAAATAAAATAATTCAACTCTAATTTCAAACGTGTTGAATTTTAAAGAGTCACTCTGTAAAACAGAGCGTGGGATTTAGTACTTGGCAGAAAGACGTGTCAACCCGGGGTGTCAACTTTCACTCCCGTTAAACTACTTATAAAACCTGAATAATGTTCATTGGTGCAGCCCCAGAAGGCTTCGTATGATACAGCCCCAGAAGGCTCAGCCCCAGAAGGCTTACTCCGATACAACCCAAGAGGGCTCAGCCCCAGAAGGCTTTATAATACAGTCCAAGCAGGCTCGGCCCCAGAAGGCTTCCTAGTACAGTCCAATAAGGCTCAATCCCAGAAGATCTCGTGTAATACAGGCCCAGAATGCGTTCTTTAACACGGCCCCAGTAGCCTCAGCTATAACCCATAAGGCTTTACTGTCCAGAATGGTTTGTTCTGCCCCTGAAGGCCATGTTCTCTGAAAATAAACTATAAACATGTTATTTTATGATATAAGAGCCATTTCGTATATTCTATTTTAAAATGCATAACATCTTATTAATTTTTGTACAATTTTTGTGGGTGAAATTTAGGTGTTACTCGTGTAGGCAAAAAGCCGAGAATGACTACCTTAGTTTCCTACTACCCTTTGTTCAAAATACTACTTTTCTATTGGCTACTACTTTACACTCAGAATCAAACCTCGTTCTATTTCAGCAACTGCTAACAAAATGATCAGAAAATTATTTTCAATCTCATTCATACTTCAAAACGATAGAAAATATAATTTACAATTGTACATTCGTTACCCAAGGCATTGAAGTAAACTCCAAGGAAAAATAGGCGAATTTTCAAATTGAAATTAGGGTCCGTCTCAAACATGTCGATTTTCACATCTTGACCCCCTGATTAATATGTCAGCTTTTCCTTTTTGATGTGCATCACTTGTCAACATGAACCAATAAAATCTATCATTTTTTCTCGATTTTTTTAGTTATCTTTTGTTTTTCATTTGAATAAATTTGAAAGGGTCGACTTTATTGAAACTTGAATCGATGCGATCATGAAAAATGATGCTTAAGACGATAAGAAAATGATAACAGTTTTATTTGGGAAGAATTGATCATTACGCTATTTCACTATTCAACCGCATGTCGATTTTCACAAGACAATTAGAAACCAATGACAATGATTTAGAAAGTTCATTTTAGGAGCGCTTACTTCACGAATCGACATTTTTGATATGTAGGATATAACTAGCTGAATTGAGACACACCCAGTTTGTATTTGTATAGTATCCAAATATGACCACGTTTATGTAAAATTTCCCGTCAAAACCCGACATACGTAAAACATGATTTGGAGAATCCTGTCGTGTTTCACATTTTATTCTAAAATATCGTCAAAGAAAATAAAATTAGGACATGTAGGTATTACGTCCGCAAAGTTTATATGCACTGAACACATCTTTTCTACATCCTTTTCACACCAACTTTACCAAAACATTGCACTGATTCATGAGACAAGGGTTTACATTTTTAGATTGAATGAGAATTGGTTGACAGATGCCATGTCGTTAAAATATTTTTTGACACCCATGGTATATGTTTCCCTTTTATCTCATATACCAGGTATGGTACCTTGCCTTGTTTTTACAATTTGAGTAATTTTTCCTTTGGGTTTAGCTTTTAATGCAGTTAGACCAGTTGCAGGTTGACGTAGTGACGTTTTTCCTGCATGTATCGCAACAACAGGACAACCATTTACGTAATATTGGAGTGCAATCAGCATCTATCTAGATTTCTAGATCTGACCCGGTCCTTATTCTACTCGAGTGTACGTTATCAATTGAAATAATGATATTGTTGTGAGTCGAGTCCAGTAAGGCTGACGTATACGTTTAGTTCAATCATTAAAATCATCTGCACCGGTGTAGAGATGTTTCTCTTGACACCATTATCTGCGGAGCGCTTCGCCGATAACCCCCCCCCCCTCTCTCCAAGTTCCTATCACAAGACTTTTTTCCATGACCACCGGAAGTGTTTTTATAACTATGCTTTGCTTCATTCTGAGATTTTTGTTTTAGTCGCTATAATTTCCGCTTTAGAGAAACAAATTTCTTTCTTGTCAGACTCGATCCCTTTTCCGGATTTCTGATTTCACATCTCATAATTAACTTTCGCTATTAAATTTGTTTCTTCTGATGTTTTGTTTGAAGCTCTTGAAGTCTATATATTTTAGTGGTCTACCCCCGGTTTTATTTTCGAAGAGGGGAAAAATCATCTCGCTTTTGTTGCCTCTATCGTCGCATGCGCATCTTCTTTATGTTTCTATAATGCTAGTTAATTCGATTGGCGATATTTTTCAATGAGGAACGTACTCTTATGCACCTCATCTTTTGATTTTTTGATTTATTTTATTCTCGGACATTGATTTGCTACGAATTACGTTTGACGAGGGCATTCCAAATCTTGTACATCAGATCGTAATGTACGTGTATGTAGTAGATCAGATCGTAATAATGAAATTAGGAAGTTACGATAAGCAAATAAACGTCGTTGAAAAGCTATAGAATCGTTCATATTACAAATAAGAGATGCCTGTTTATGCTGTTCACCATTGAGAATGATGCATTCATTGAAAAGGAAACTGAACCCAAACGTTCATAGACTTTATAGTTGAAGTCAGCAATCCCCGGGAATGCACTGAACGAAACGTTATTTACAGAGGTTGACACATTTTGGGCTATAATGGTCTTCATAATGATTTTTGTAGTGAAAATCTTTCGGTAAATTATGCTTATGGAAGTTCCAAATAACTTATCATCTGCTTGCATGTAACGCATTTTTGTAAAGACGTATAAAATGGAAAAGGGTACGCTGAACAAAGAGAAAACTCTTTAGCTGCTATCTTTTCATTGTCTAGTATCAATTGATCTTTATGCGTAATTATCGGAAAACTGTTATGCATGTGTTATCAGTGTATTAGTAATCATATAAAATCAAATCAATCTATTTGTGATTTATAGAAATGACTAATTCACTGCTTTGAGTTCAATGGTATAACCATGTCGATTTTCACCCATGTCGATTGGCACAGTTTCACACCATATTCGCTCATAGATGGGACCGTCGTGCTGGTTATTTCGTAAAATGTTTTCGTAAAAACAGAGTGGATACATTGTTTTCTTGAATAGTGTCCGTCTTTACGCTAGAATGCTGCCCATGTGTGAATTACATCTTGGTCGTTTTTCACAAGAAAAATGGTGAATTTTCAGAAATGTTCAGATAATGCTCATTATAATTCAATCACAATTATTATCACGATTTGGAACATGCTGGTCTGATAAACTGAATCAAGGACTTGCTAACCACATGTAACTTATTTTTCTCGGATTTCCCTAATGCCGTGTGGGTGTGTTTAAATTTAAACGACCATGTCGATTTTCACAGAATAAACTTTACATTCACTTTATTTGGCCTATAATCGGTAATAGGTTGAGATCAAATACAGTGCTCTCATCACACTCTGAATGAATGTTCTCTATGCCAGCATAACCAAAATTAAAAGACGCGACCATTTATTATTGAGATATGACATGTTTTCAAAAGCGTATTGTCCTGTTACATTGACAATCTCACGTAATTCACAATTTTGAAGCCAGATATCAAAGCTACTTACAATCGGAACGATCAAAAAAGTATGCTGACGTAGTTCATATAAAGGCATTATATTTTAAAATACATAAAATGATGAGCAAACATAGGTTTAGTTTCAGCTATGTTCAAATACATCAAAAATGTCAATTTTTAACACTTATTGGCTCGTGCTGAGGCAAGAGCCATATCTCACTTGGATATAGTAGTAAGTGATAACGACTATGGACTGAGGTTTAAACGTTAGTTTACTAGTAGAAAACCTGATGGGTTAATATTTGTTGATTAAAATGAGTTAATTCCTCGAGCAAAAGTTTAACCCTAAGGTGTTAGTTTATTATAAAATTGCGTTAGAGAGGTTTTCAAACGGCAATATACACATTTTACAACAACACCATGAATTCTGCGCACTGATTTTCGGCAACATGATACGACAGAAATACGAGCGACTTCTTGATTTAGAATTGTGAACAGTTTACAGCATTAAAAAAACTCCGAACATTTAACTATTATATTAATATCTTCGGAGAACGAGAATCAAATTGACCCATCTTCACTTTTAGATATGCTCGGATGTTTTCTAAGAGGTCCAGGTACCCAGACCTTCACAATTTAAAGATCTTAATCAGTTCAAAATGTTCGGATTTTTTCTACTTTTGCTACTTTTTTCTACGTTCGGTAAATTACAACCGCGTTAAAAGTAAGGATCCCTATTTATCAATACAATTCATTAAAACACTGCAAACATCTCCTTCACACGAGCCTTCATTTTTTTAAATGATCTCTTGTTTGTTTTCACTGTTCACGAATTACATTTTATGAGAAATGTTGGCTACAGTGTGGTGACCATGTTGAATTTAATGGCCATATTGAAAATTTCTTCTCGAACAGAGGTCCTACACCCCTAAGGTATAAGCCTATTATGTTTGGACCAAAGTCGTCACCTGGTATTTGAGTATTCGCCTGAAAAATACATTTTTAAATATTGGAGGCTCTGCTGTCTCAAAATACCATATTATGCAATTTAAATCCATTACTATGTTTTAGAAACTACCTTTCTGCTACAATTTTTGAGACGTTGCAAATTTAGTCAATTAGAAGCCAGAAAGATGTTTGATAATTTCCACACCAAAATTTGCGATCAGCTGCCTTTTTGGATGTGCAACATTGATGTTCATAAACCTGCTCTGAGAGACCTTATTACAAATCAAAGGCAAGTACATGGTGAATCCCCATCCATCACCAGTCACGCTTCCCCAGCTTTGTCTTTTACAGATCGGTATGTCATTCTCTTTCATTATGATGCCCAAGGATGAAGTCACTTTCAAAGTAAGTCAACCAAGTGATTTGGGTTTAAACAAATGTGGCAGATGTCCCATTGTTTGATTGTGTCACTCATTGGATTAATATTTTGCACAATACAACATTTAACAATATTTTGTTTGCATTTTTGACTTGTTATATTTTATATGTTTTCGAATGTTTCCCATTATGCTTTGTCACTATTATGTAAGATGATACCAACAGGATCAATTAAAAAGTCTTAAATGACTGAAGAAAATAATGATTATTTTGATAAAAAATAGAAACAGTGACAATAATGCTGTGAAAAATGATTTTCCATGAAAAGGTCATTTTATACACGTTCATAGAATGACCTATATTTTGAAATATGAAGGTCAGAATGACCTAATTTTTGGATCTGGTTGTCAAACAAAGTCTCTTTTTTGATATCCTGTACATTTCTTTCTAAATATCTATACAGTATCATCGGACGATGATACTGTATAAAACACGCTCAAGGGAAATATAATGTACTTTTTATAGACACCAAATACATCTCTGACGATACAAGAATAAAAAAGACTTTTCATGGAAAATTCTCCTTTGTTTACATTCTCAAAAACGTGAAAAATGAGAAAAGTTGTCACAACTTTTTGAAACTCCTAAATCGAAGCTAATTTCACATGCAGGCGACGAATTTTTAGCCTCACACGAATTGTACATGCTAATACGGTTCGTTATATCTGGAAATGAAGGATTTTAACAATTTAAGAAATTCGACTAGCATTGAGTTTTTAAAAATGTTGAAATCGTATATTTGGAGAATGAACCACCTTTGGTTCAACTCAGTGCCACCTTCCTGTTGGAGTTCATACTTGTAACTCTCACAGTACATCGGTACAATACTCAACAATGTACAGTAGAACAATTAGTCAGGAATATACAAGATTAAAAAGTCATACCATTTTGATCATAACGTATAACTTATTGAACACTCTGTATGATCAATTTATTGTCCTAATAAAGAAACATAAACATATATAAATAAAACACGCAGCCATTTTGTTTTCTTATTTCAGAATATATGTTCACTTACCGCACAGGGATGATGAGGGAAGGAGAATCTTTTTATGTCAATTAGGTATATCCATCTAATATAAATGATATATAATTGTACACAGAGCTTTCATTCACTATATACTGTCATATGACAACTAAAACTCCATCGTGGGAGAAAGGGGAAAAAGGCACTAACATCTGTTTCTGCAGGGTGAGCCAAAAAATGTAACCCAATCAAATTTTAATAACTCAAACATCCAGTATGGGGTTTCAGTCATATTTGGTACAATTGAACCTTGTTCAATTTTCTTTCATTCTACTAAGTTTCATTGGGAGTATAAGGAGTGAACATAGAGTGGTCAGAGCAAGTCGCATATTACTGAGCAGTGGATAGAGTGGATATAGTGGATAGAGTCAACAGTTTTTGATAATTTATGGACAACATGCTACCTAATGTGTTAGAGAATCTTATTGATGTGTTATTTCAACAAGGACAAGGATTTATGGACTACAGAGCTATAAACGTACCTCCGCACCCAATATTTAGAGGGGGCTCATATCTGAAGAACATTTCCGAATTTTAATAAAATCACACAGATACTGCCTGGCTTCCAAGATGCAAAAATAATTTGCATGGGTAGTGTATCTTGAACACCATTTTTTATGAATGCTGGGGACGCAGTATTAAAAGGATAGTCTCAAAATATATAGGTCTGGGAAATGTGTAAGGCATACTGCGTCGCTATAAAATGAATTGCACTACTATTTTCACAATTTTATTGATATTTGGTTTCAAATACACATATCTTGGTATATTTGAAGTCCCAAAACGGCTTAGTTTCAGAAATATCCCAATTTTAAATTCAAAAATGACCGTTAGCTCCGCACCCTCCGCTCATTTGCGCCGCACCCAATATTTCCCACAGGCTCTGTCTGCATAGGGTGCAATGAAACTGATTGGAATAAAAGAACATTAAACAAGGTTCAATTGTACAAATTATGACTTTAAACCCGTACCAGATGTCTGAGTTGTTTGGGTTTCATTTTTTGCTCACCCGGTATGTTACACCGACTATTTAAAAAGGTTGCAATGAACCAAGACTTATTTACATATTTCAGGTCGTTTTGATGTTGGCAAGGATATTTTGTACAATTTTCATGACTACATTGCTTATAGTGGTGTTACAATGATGGTGTCAAATAGAGAGGAAGAGACACAGGTTAATTACATTTTTTAGTTGCAACGAGTCTCTGGTCACCCCAACCACCCATTCATTTTTCCGCTTTGGTTCGGTGTTGTGGTGATGTACCACACTAACTAAAAAATGTCTTCAATATTCCTCATTCTGCTCACTAATATATATGATATATACACTACATTACTAGTATATAATCATTTATAATTGACATGTTCACCATTTTGGAACCATGCTGCAAAAGCGACCAATGAAAAGAAGTTCAGTGAAATCTATTTTATTTGAAAATGTTTATTCGATGAGAAAATTGCTTAAAGCTATGTGAAATCTCTCTATGCGACCCCGGCTGCGACCCTGCGATTGAAGAGATTCTAAAACCCACTCAGTCGTCATCCATCTTGTGAAGCACATGTTTACGCATGTGCATTATGAAAAATGATTTGGAACCGATCATTTTCGTCTTTTTTGTCACGTATTTAGCTATGTGAAATCTCTTCTGCAGGTTAATGGCTATGTTATATTTCTGGACCTAACAGACCAGACAATGAAGCATATGACTTTTATGCCAATTGAATTCAGAAGAAAACTTTTCGGCTTGTTCTCGGTAAGTACTCACTCTTTCCAACATAGTATTTGGCTGAAGAAAGACTGACAATGTTTGATTAGGAAAATGAAAAATCGGATAATCTGTGCATTTACAACGATATGGACATTCACATAGCGTGACATTTATGTTTTTAGGGTGACATTGAGGTCAAGGGGTTGACTATGTAATCTCGGGGTTTACTTTTGGTTCATTGGGTTTACAATTGTTATAGCGTTAAAAATGGGATCTTGGTGTTGATTGTTTGGGTATGGAAGTTGATACTGTCGTCTTGAGCCGAAGTTGGGCATTTTTCATTTGGAGGTTGGCGATGGCAGTTCAATAAGATTAAGATAATATACAGAGTGTCCAATAGATATGTTCTCCCCTTAATTTCAGCAACTATAACTTTTTGTGCATAAAAGTGTTCTAGTTGAGCAAGTCATCTGAAACTTCTTGTGGAGTTACTCCATGAAGCCTAGTTTTATTATGCCACGGAATAATTCAGATATCATGCAGACAAAATGTACGACTGATACATTATGTAGATGTTAAAGTTAATGGGGAGAATATATTTATTTGACACCCTATATGCACGTGAACGTATCACATTTACAGAACCAACTGCCTGCCAGAATAAAATCAATGATTATGTACAATGCTGGACCTGTGTGGGAGACAATGTGGAACCTTGCAGGTCACTTTGTCTCTGCCAAAATTAAAGAAAGGGTAAGAGCTATTTCTTATATAAATGGTACAAAGATCAAGGCAACAAGGACATGAAAGATAAAAATTAACAGACCATTATCTGTATTACTGACACTGAATTACTTTTTTGGTTCAAAAAGTTACATTATTTACACAATATACAGGGTGTCCCGAAAGTATGCCCCCCAAAGGCAGAGATATACCTATGTCTCCATAGTATGTGTCATATATCATGCTAAAACTTATCCAAAGTTACATTGATTTGCCAAGTAGGATATACAGGGCGTCAAATAAATATGGTCTCCCCTTAATTTCAGCAACTACGAGTATAAATGTTTGTTTATAAAAGTGATTCTAGTTGACAAAGTCATCTTAACATTTAGTGTTTGGCCGTAAAATATAGTTTATTTCAGTATCTTGGAAAAAGCCCTGGCATTAATTTAAAGGGGACCACCACCATGGTCACATGATCAGTCGTGTGGAGGTAAGCTCCCAGTTGAAATAAAAGCACTGTCCTCCTTTGGTTTATGTGAAAAGTAGCTAATACCCTCATGTATTGGTCAGTTTGTGTGTCACACGACTAATCCACACCATATGCTTCATTCAACATATTTTATGCTATTAAGCTGCATATAAAAACACTACTTTGCAATAAAAACGTACTACTGGATGAACTAAGGTTAGGGTAATTAAATTAGTTGTTTCTCATTCTTGCCCCCGTGTGGCCCAATCCCCCCTCCACCTTTTTCTGCCATTTCTGAGAAAAAACACCGTACCTCGCGCGCATCCATGGCGTGTGAAACACTTTTTTTTTACTTTTTATGGATCAGGATAATTGACAATATCGTGGTACTGATATATAATCAAATATACCAGTAAAGTAGGCTAAATTCAACATATAAATTCAACATAAACTCATTTTATTTCCTTCAAAATTAGTTTTTTGTTTTTACAGTTCTTTTAAAGAAGAAAATTATCCCGTCCCTCATCAGCATTTTAGATAGACAAAAAAGGTAATATAAAAACCGTCATTCCCGTATCAATTTTGAAAATTAGAAGAAAGAGAAACAACTAATTTAATTACCCTGGCCTAACATAAAATACTCATACAGTATACTTACCCCTTGCAAATTTTAATTTATTGAATTCACAGTAAACCCATCAATTTAAAAAAACAAAGAATATTGTTCTCATGGATCTATTATTCATGTTAAACTAACTATGAAAATATAAATATGAAATAATATGTTAGCTTGAAGTCATATATAAGATGAAAAAATATGTTCATGCATTTGCATTTTTCCATAAGGGAATACATTCCCATGTAAGTAAATACAGGTGCAATATATAATTTATATGTATATCTATGTCATCTGTCTATACATGCGCGTATTATATAGTGATACATTTGAACAAGATGGTTCTGGAAAGAAATGAGCGTGGCAGATTTGCTAAAAAGCCACATACACCACAAAAGCAAGACCAATTTGAAAGTAAGTTCAATATTCTCAAGGGTACACTTCAAGTGAAAGCTACATTGCTACAGGGTGGCCTATCATTCTGAGACAAATGTATTATCCAACGATTGTGATTTTCAAAGCTAAAATATGATATCTTGAGCAGATGGAAATACATTCCCATGAGATATGTATATATAGTCAAAAGTGATAACTATTATTGAGTGTAATGAAACATATCCTTAATTCGCTAACTGCTTTTGTTTGAGATAATTATCATGAAATATTTTTAAATTAATTTTTATGTGTGTCATTGATCCTAATCTACCCTGTAGTCTGGTGTTTGTAGAGCATTGCACCTCGTACAACTTATTCTCACAAATATCAAACCTCATTTACTAATTAATTTTTTGTGTGAATATGAAGAGTCCAAGCATTGCTTTTTTATGTTTACTGTATAGCTATATTTATCCATGATTTTTTAAAACAAAATCTCACCGTTAGATTTCGAGCTATTCATGTTTACTTATTTTCTAATTGGAAAACAATGCAAATCTCATTTTTTCAAAGGAAAAATATTGAAATTCTAAGACGGTGAAAAATCATTAAAAATACACAGATTCAGAATCCGGCAAGCATTTTCCCTTATTCCTCTCCGTTAAGAAGTTTTGTAAGGTGTTGGATCCCTTTAAACGAAAATACGGGTGCTATTGTCGAAGTTAGGATGGCTATTGAGTTCTAAAAAGAGAGCGTTGAGAGTAGATACTCCAAAGAAACTCTTCTAAAATGCGTTAAAAGGCTTTATGAGGATTACAAAATACGACATCCCTATTTGAAGTGCATTTAAGGTCATATATGGAAAGCATTGCTGCTGTTAACATGACCCAGTGAGACACACCGACTATTATTTTGATGTAAAACTGATTTTAATTTTAGCCAAACACTAAAATGCCTGTAAATTTTTCACATTTCACATGAGTTGAACCATGTTAATTGGCAAATCAATGTAACTTTGAACGAGCTTTAAAATGATATATGACACATACAGGTACTATGGAGACATTAGTATATGTCTGCCTAGGGTGGAGAGGGGGTACTTTCGGGACACCCTGTATATAATGAATTTGAACATTTGTACTATAATATCTTTTAATGTGACTGACAAGACTTAAATAATCAAAAATCTCTCGTGTAGAAAGAAAATGAATAGTCTTTTAGAATTAAAACAAGTAGAATCAAAATAAAGTTTTTCAAAAGGATGACTTTTAAACGTCAAAGTATGAATAAATATGAATTTTGTAACATGCAATCAATCTGTAAAAGTAAACTGTAAATGTATTAAATCAATTGAGTTGCGAGAGTAATATGCATCTGAGAAGGTCTCTTCTTTATAATAATTTCCGGGAGACACGGATGCATATAGATAAAGATATAGACATCACATGTAGGGATTTTGAATTTGAAATAGAAAGTCGTTTCAGATGTCATATTGCAAAACTATGGAGGAAGTATATAAGTTGATTCCAATGAGGTGTCTTCCTCGAGAATACTTGCCAGATGACTACAACGGACCATGTGCTGGAAACCTAGCTGATATTGCCAGTAAGAAAATACAAGAAAAAAAACAAAACTCCAAAGAGTAGTAAATCCCACCGAACAAAATATATGTTATTATACAGTGGCGGATCCAGGAACCAACAGGGGGGGGCCCAAATTTGAGGTCAGTGAAATTTTTTTTTAGGCCCCTAAAACCGAAAAGTGGGCCCTAATTTTGAAAATTTGAGGCCCATTTTCTTCAAAATTTGGCCTAAAATTAAAAAATAAGGCCTTAGAAGGCCCAATAATGACCAAAAGGCCCACTTTTTGGGGCCTTTTTTTGGCCCAAAACTTTTTTGGGCCCAACTTTTTTTTCTGGGCCAACCTTAGGGGGGGGGGAGGGCCCCACGGGCCCCCCCCCCCCCCGGATCCGCCATAGTTATATACCTCGTCATTTGGGATATTATATAAGATATAGATAATCAGATTGCTATGGCCACATGACATCAAATCTGTAAAATGGTAGATTATTTGAGTTATCAATGATTGCATTTTCTGACAAAAATTGAAATGGCAACCGAATTTAACTGAGCAGCCATCTTGAAATTTCCTTCTTAAGCCTTCTTTATGTCCCTAAAGCATCAGCATATAAAATTTGAACCGAATCCGTCAACTGGCATTTGAGATGCCAAACATTACATTTTTAGGAAAAATGGCGGCCATTTTGAAATGAACACCCATATTGAAAATGCCCCATATATGTCCTTTGCTCAAAGAACATTAGCCTTTAACATTTGGACCAAATTCATAAATGGTATCTATGTTATCAAATATTACATTTTTATGAAAAATGGTTGCCATTTTGAAATTCGGTGGCTTTCTAGAATTTTTTTCTTAAAGGCCTACTTTGCGTATTTTCAACCTTTTTGGGCAAAATAAACACAAACATTTGAATTTCATAATATGTCCAATGGATTGATAAGAACTTCATCTTTCATTCGACACCAAAAGCAGCTCAAACGGACAACATCAAAGCTTACATACAATGAATTATCAAAAAATATTTTCGATCTGTCTAGCTTTTTAAAAATATCAAGTTTTTATCAATGTCATTGAAAATGGCGAAGTTGTTTGCATTACATGATACATTCATTTTTATAGAAGTGTCGCCATCTTTTAAATCAAGAGTAATTTAAAACATGCTCTTTATTTAACATATATATGCGTGCACTATTATGATCTCCGAACTTCAAATGCTGTTTTCTATGGGAGTTATTTTTCTTGGTTCAATATTAAAGCAAATCAAGCTTTGTGTCATATTTGAGTGAGTGTAGAAGTAACATGTTTCAATGATTATTTTTTTCCTATATTTTCTTCTTAATTAATTGTATAGTGGGCCTTTAAGCTGAAGACACACAGATATAAATATAACACTCAAAGAGCCAAATGGCCACATGATAAATTTCCAAGCATGCTCATAATCAGATCATATCTTAGCACTTGTCGGTCTATTCATTTGTATAAATTCCAGGTTCAATGGATGAATTGCATGATTTAATTACTGTTCCATTTTCAGGTTACCTCTACAGTGAATTAAGCAAACCAGTTGTTAGAGACAGAATCCTAGAACTCAGTACAAAATATTTCAAAGTTGATGAATCTAAACGACCTGTTATTACAGACGCAGAAGTTGCTTCATTTAGGAAGCTCCATGTTGATTAGGAATATCAATAATTCAAATAATAGTGAAGGATTTGGAAAAAATAAGTAAATTTTATATTATTCTAGATTAATCTATGTAATTAACGAATATTTGTTGACTAAAAAATAAATGGCAATTTAGTTGATACTTTTATTATTTTTACGACCTGAAGTGTAATTCGATGTAATCGGGGAGATTTTTGAAGCAAACGTTTCAACTGTAAAAATAGACATGCATGGTATTGGGTTATTTCTAGAGATCATTACAGACACACACCCTTTTCATCTTCACCACCAACGGGGAGGTGTGTAGTGGGGGGGGGTCACAGGGGCTTTAGCAAGACTAATAGGTACCTTTTTTATCTGCACTTGATTCTACTTCTTACTTCTTTAATAAGATAACAAATATTTTCAAAATGAAAAATAAGCAAAATCAAATTAGCTTATTAACACAGTGCACACAACAGTTGTTTTCATTGAAGGTAAAAATTAATCATTATCTATTTAGTTTATTTTAGTTTCGAGGCAATCACACCGAAGTCGTGTTTTCCAAACAGTTGAATAGTTATTAATAAGTTTATTGGTCTCTTGAACATCTAAGGTACATCGAGATATAAGTCCAATAAAGCAAATAACAAATAAAAAATTCATGTACATGCATGACAAAACATAATAATTACAATCTAATTTTAAAATCACTAAGTACTAAGTAGCATAAAATGATTTTGTTTAACAACTCTTTTGTAATATTATGAACTCTGATTTTTCCAAACAGTATATAGAGTAAACCAATTACATCATTCACATGAACATCTCAAACTGAGCAGTAGGTTCAATTCTTTGGGTTCAATAAAATGCTACTGTAGAATAAAACATAGATAAGTAAAGACCAAAACGTAAGTATGGGTATCTCACAATTTCATCCCATGCATGTTCTGTGCCTTTGGGGTTCGTCTTCACTTAAGCCCGGACTTAAGCCCGATCCAGAATGGTCTTACCCGTCCATATTACTACACGCCATCTTTTAAGCACCGAGTCTTGTATTTTTCGAAACACTGGACGTAGATTCAACTTAAAGAGGGCAGCACTGGATTTACGTTTTTGGATTTTCAGCAACGCATTCAGTTACTCAGGCCGACATGACCTTAAGTGTAATTGTAATTAGTTACTATTTTATTGAATTTTATTTTGAGTTGTTTTTATTGCTCATCTCTCTGTATGAGGCAGCTTGGGTTCTGCAATATTGCATGCTAATGTTTGTTAAAAATATTTAATATACAGGGTCATATCATTCCCTGTCATGCCTACTCTCTATAAATCCCCAATTCTTTATTTCTGGAAAACTAAAGAGTTTTAGTGTATATGTTTTTGAAGTGACTATTAAGATACGTACCATAATCTAGTATTAAAAGTCCACCCCGGACATTCAATTCTAGCAACCGGACTAAAATACCAGTCTATCGGACTATGTGCTGCACGGGTCTATATTTACGATGACACCGTTTGAAAGATGATAAGTGCTTTCAATATCCAGAGGCCTTTTTTAATTTCTGTTAATGTTTCTTGAAAGACGGACAGCATTTACACCTAATAGCAATTGTTTCAAATACTATCTAGTGAATCAAGACAGGACGTGAATCTAAGTGTTATATTTTCTATATAAATGAAGTATTTATAATTGTAGGACTAGGACTAAATAATATTCTGTTTTGGTCTTAAAATATACTCTATATACTGTGTTGAAGGTAGGAGCATGCGATGACACAAATAGTCCTCGGAATCGGAGTCCTCTTTTATGACAGATTGAATATATTCATCTGAAAGTCCTAAACTTTCTGATGTGTACCTGCATCTATTTTGTAAATTATTTAGCATTGCATCAAATTTTCTAAATTTGTCATCAAAGCTCTTTCCCATTGCGCTAATTTTTCGCCAAAGAGTTTTGTTAAAGAATTCAAACATTGCATAATCCAATGGACTATAGATTCGATAGTTTCTTTCTGCGAGTGCCATGTTTGTAGTGTGTTCAAAACTAGTTGTTGATTTTTCCCCTAGTTGTCCGTCAGTAGATACTTTATGGGAGACATATAGCATATCCTCCATTGACCAGCAGAGGAGCTCGCCTAGCAGCACAATCGATTCCTTCATATGATCAGTTATCAGAATCAAATTAAACTTAGAATCGACATGTAAAATAAATTCTTCTATTCCCTTAGGTGTCGCACCTTTATCCAATGCTCCATAAAAAGAGGATTGACGATTTTGGCGAACTTTAAGATCTGGATACTTCCAGGGATTTTCTTCAAAATCTGCCAAAGAAACGTTTACCCCTTTTTTGGTGATGCCCTTTTCGGCATAATTATAATATGATTTGAGGTACCCCATAGGGTTGCGTAGCACCCCGATATATAGAGTGTCTCTCGGCATTAACTGCTTCATAAACTTTTCATAAAAGTGTACATGATTTACAATCAAGTTGACAGCATCACCGATGTGGTCCCTTATATCCGAAGCATCAATACTAGGGATCCCAGCTCTTGGGAGTAGGAAACTTAGATTATGTTTTTCACCATACCTTTGAAATATGTTTGTAATCGTTGAGCCACCGCATTTTGGAACTTTGATGAAGACAATATTTCTAGCTGGTGTACACTTTCCTCTTCTTGTAGTTGATCCAAAATGTCCATATGTGGAATGGATAGATTTAACCACATTGACGTCGGCATCAAATAAGCATCCAAGAAGATATAAGAACAGAAATGTTGCACCCAGAAGGAGAAAGATCCTAATTTGAGTCAAGTTTGCCATTATTCAGTCGGTTATAGTAAATGTACATGGCGTTTAACACATGACGTTTAAAACCTAAGTATATTTCTTCTTCTGTCCAAAGATGTGAAAAGAGTAGCTCTATTTACATTACATTTAGCTAGACTTCAATGGTGAAAATAATGCTATATCATTATCATATTTTCTAAATGTGATGATGATAAGGCGATGTTTTAAAAGTCAACGTCATATTTACTATGTACTCAAAAGTGAAATCACATTTTTGATATTGTGTAAATCCATCGCTTTTACATCCATAAGCTATCCATAAAATGTAATATATACTTCTCATAAATTACGTATATGTTGTTTAGCTTTCAATTTCAAATTAGTGTACTTTCTTTCTAATCTCCTTTATATACAGCTGATCAACACACTTGGAATCAATGCTAAGCAGACGTACTAGAAACTTAGGATAGTTCACATGCGGCTGAGATTATTTCGCGATTTCTGTTTAGTTCTTAGTTTGAAGTCGGCATTTTCGCCTCCACTTTTTTAGAAAGGGTGTGTAAAACGATAAAAATTTAAGTCACGAATATACTTGAAATATATGCTATGTTCAACTAATAAATATGCAAGAATTGTAAAAATGAAATCATAAGTTTTCTCCTCATATTTTGTTCCTGCTATAATCATTGTTAACTTAGATTTCCCCCTTTTGCAATTATATTACTCGCCATGTAATTTATAGCTTTCTCAGGATCAAGTTCAAGTTGATTTATAAAAGTGTTAAACAGACAGACAAACACACATTGCATCAAAGGAAGATGTTTCGAACAAATGTACGAACTTAAGACGCTTGTGGATATTCTGAGTGACTTTTTAACTAAGGAGACAAAGACTTTTAGCAAAATTGCACCCATGATGTTTTTTTGATGCCAGGTTATAACTTCCATCTGCAGGAGATGTTATGTGAGCTTATGTGACCACGAGGCATTAGCCTATTGAATCCCCATCTGTCAACTGGTATCTTAGAAGAACCGTAGGAACAAAGGAACCGAAGAAGGGAGGGACGGACGGACTGACGACTTTGCTATATCCCTCACGAGGCTACGTTCTGTGGCATAATTAGGCTAAATATAGGGATCTCAATTCTTAATTTGGGTAACTTGGTAATTCTGGATTAGTCGCAGTATAAAATATTTCACGTACAATAGGTGCGAAGGATTGATATTTCAATACATGACATAGCCGGGTCTAGGTTGGAGACATCCGACATTAAATCTATTTCCACATGACACTAGGGAATTATCTGGTGTCACATCCAAATCATAATTATAAATTAAGGCATGAGTTACATTTTGTCATGATCACCGTTTATATTCGTCATACCACAGTTAAGTGGCCCATCCGCAGCAAAATATCATTGTCTCCCGTAGGAGAACCCTCCCCGGGACTATTGTCTCCCGTAGGAGAACCCTCCCCGGGACCATTGTCTCCCGTAGGAGAACCCTCCCCGGGACCATTGTCTCCCGTAGGAGAACCCTCCCCGGGACCATTGTCTCCCGTAGGAGAACCCTCCCCGGGACCATTGTCTCCCGTAGGAAAACCCTCCCCGGGACCATTGTCTCCCGTAGGAGAACCCTCCCCGGGACCATTGTCTCCCGTAGGAGAACCCTCCCCGGGACCATTGTCTCCCGTAGGAGAACCCTCCCCGGGACCATTGTCTCCCGTAGGAGAACCCTCCCCGGGACCATTGTCTCCCGTAGGAGAACCATCCCCGAGGAACAATTGTCTCCCGTAGGAGAACCATCCCCGAGGAACAATTGCAGATAAACATTGAGCTTGTATTCGCGAATGCAACTAACGCCTGTCGGCTACCGGATTAACTTATTATTTTAATACCAACTCCTTTATTTATGAATGGAATAGTGGCAGGCACTTTTCATATTTAAATGAGTTGCCTATAAAATACTAGGTTAATCCGGTAGCCGACAGGAGTTGGTTGCATTCGCAAATATAAGTTAATTAAGTTATCCAATAAAAAACTCCCCTAAGTATGAATTACATATCAATCAAGACGAGGAAATACCTCAGAATTCATAGATGAATTTATCTCATGTAAATAACCTCAAGTTCATCTTTTATGAGGTTACAGTATGCTTATCCTGGGGTACTCCCCTCATAGAAACTCATAGAACATCGGGAGTGTAAGGAATTACTAGAACAGCGAAAACAACATATTATACTATAAACTTCCGGGTTGTGAAAAAACATAGGTATAGTTCATATTGATAAAATCACTCTCATTTCGAAGTAAACGAGTAGCCTGTCACAGTCACCTATTCCAGCGGATCATCCTGATTTAGAAGTGCAACAGAACCCTTTGTCGGGAATTGCTAACATGCCCGAGGACGCGTCCATTCCTTTTAAGACGAGGCGATCTTTTGGTGAGTATGCTTTACAGTACGTTGCATCCCCTGGGGTTACTTTCCCGGGAGAATCATCCAGACATATTTGCCACAGAGTATTATCATCATTAACAAGAATATTGGACAACCTTACCTGTTGGTTGAGTGTTACACTGTATGTATAGTTAATGATGTCATTAGCCTAAAATATCAGTGATCGATTGCCAAAATATTTTTTCCCCCTCCCTTGCCCGTGCTCCCTTGTAAGCTCTGCAAGTTCAAGGTCCATCAAATTAATGTCGGACTTATTGTCTGGATTATCGGTCATTTACATCGTAGCTTTATAAAACATACACACTTGGAACCAAACAGTCCATAATGGAAACTCGGATGACAATATTATCCGTTACACATACCGTTGTGTTAAATATTTATTACACCATTGACTTTCTTTTAATTAAAGCGTTATTTTTCACAATTTGTTTATATGACCCAGGGCTAAATGTCCCAGTTTATATTGGACTATATTGGATGGCATTTTGTGTACTGTACAATCACTGTAAATAATTGGAATATTTTCTTTTTCACCTAATATGTAAAAAATATGAACGTCCATAGACTGGTTTCGGGAATTTGTTTATTAGTAAATTTATGTGTTTACATTATTCGTGTCACCGATTTCAACATATGTCGTCCTATTTCAACATTTTCAACATAAAATCCTTGAACTTCGGTCAACTTAGAAATTGGTATTCCCACTTAGATTTTAGTCATTATGAGGTTATGGCAACCAGACAATTTAAATCTTATCAACGGCATGTGTAAAAATCCTAAAATATTTCATGGTGAATAACACAGGGAAAATAATTGCTATTGAAAAAATTCCTCCTCAAAAAGTCGTTCTGACTTGGTCATCCACATATTGAAATCGTATTCATGGGCTTTTCCAATTACAAGAACACAAGTTTTATAAAAACATTAGCGGCAACTTCGAATTCATTGAGAAGAAAAGAATAAGGTTCCCGTACTGATTTAAAGTATCATGAAAATTATACATGATGTACTTAGTTTTCTTTTAGGATATGTGATATTTGATGATCTGTAAAGGAAAATGTGATACAACTTAAACCATTCAATAAGACGCTAAAAACACATATTCTCTCGTCGGATAAGCATGAAACTTCCCTAACTCTAACGTGTATTCCATTTGTACTTATTAATTACGTTTATTCTGTTTTCTAGAAACCAGGCTTAAAGACGTAAAGAATGTAAGACAAGCGAATCCAGACAAAATACCAGTAAGTACTATTTTTATATGTGAACAAAACTCAAAACATATGTTTTAAACTATTTTAAACTCACCCGTACAAAACATTATAAATGATCATGCAAATGAAAACGACACCATAACCGAGAGAACATGTCGTTATCTATATTTATTTCAATGGACAGATAACTTATACTGTACTTAGTCTACACTTAAGTTATCGTAAACTCAATTTGTTTTTTAAAACCTTGAGGACCTAATCAATTATTCATAAGTTGTTCGAACCTTGGACATATTTTTTGATCGCCCACACATAAGTTGTTCCTCTTCAAAAACCTTTTCGTTGACAAAACATAAAAAATATCGTATAACATCTTCATTATCCTCTTTGAAATATAAGATAAGAAAATTGTAGAGAATACTGGAATTCTAGTCAGTTAAAGTCCAAAATTAGAAACAAGTGGCCATCAAAATCCTTGTGAAAAACGAACATTACATGTATAGGCCCTTGTCGACTTGCATATCTTTAAGGGCGTCATTGCAGTGCCCTTTAGGACATCAAATACATGTTTGTGATAAAAAAAACACACTGCTTCACTTCTATTTATGTAATGATTAGCTATTATAATATACAAATTGGCCAATTGTAAATAAGTTTGAAGTCAGATATGAATCATTGGGATTTGCAGTCACAGTCAGCGCCATGGCCACATACTGTATGTGTAAGGGGAAAGCCGACAAAGCCTCTTGGCCAATTCTCTCAAACTTAACGATTTCTATAAAATGGGGGTCCAATAACGTAAACTAGCCAGGGAGAGTATCTGATCTTACATATTTATATTGATGTTAACACGCCAGTTCTGGTTTGATTCAGGTGATAATAGAGAAGTATGCCTCAGAAAAAAGTTTGCCACAGTTGGACAAGACGAAATACCTGGTGCCAGAAAATGTAAATATGTCTGAACTAGTCAAAATAGTCAGGTGAGATGACATATTTTACAGAACCTTGGTAAAGAATAGGGGATTGTGTTCTATACTGCACATGTACATTTCAGTGTCACATTGTATTGTTTAGTGTCAAAGTATGATGTAAAAGCAATGTCAATGTCACATTGCATGTGTTGCAATGTTGGTAAAGAATAAGAGATTGTGTTCTATACTGCACATATACAATTCAGTGTCACATTGTATTGTGTAGTGTCAAAGTATGATGCAAAAGCAATGTCAATGTCACATTGTATGTGTTGCAATGTTGGTAAAGAATAAGAGATTGTGTTCTATACTGCACATATACAATTCAGTGTCACATTGTATTGTTTAGTGTCAAAGTATGATGTAAAAGCAATGTCAATGTCACATTGTGTGTTGCAATGTTGGTAAAGAATAAGAGATTGTGTTCTATACTGCACATATACAATTCAGTGTCACATTGTATTGTTTAGTGTCAAAGTATGATGTAAAAGCAATGTCAATGTCACATTGTGTGTTGCAATGTTGGTAAAGAATAAGAGATTGTGTTCTATACTGCACATGTACAATTCAGTGTCACATTGTATTGTTTAGTGTCAAAGTGTGTTGTAAAAGCAATGTCAATGTCACATTGTATGTGTTGCAATGTTGGTAAAGAATAAGAGATTGTGTTCTATACTGCACATATACAATTCAGTGTCACATTAATTGTATTGTTTAGTGTCAAAGTATGATGTAAAAGCAATGTCAATGTCACATTGTATGTGTTGCAATGTTGGTAAAGAATAAGAGATTGTGTTCTATACTGCACATGTACATTTCAGTGTCACATTGTATTGTTTAGTGTCAAAGTATGATGTAAAAGCAATGTCAATGTCACATTGTATGTGTTGCAATGTTGGTAAAGAATAAGAGATTGTGTTCTATACTGCACATGTACATTTCAGTGTCACATTGTATTGTTTAGTGTCAAAGTATGATGTAAAAGCAATGTCAATGTCACATTGTATGTGTTGCAATGTTGGTAAAGAATAAGAGATTGTGTTCTATACTGCACATATACAATTCAGTGTCACATTGTATTGTTTAGTGTCAAAGTATGATGTAAAAGCAATGTCAATGTCACATTGTATGTGTTGCAATGTTGGTAAAGAATAAGAGATTGTGTTCTATACTGCACATATACAATTCAGTGTCACATTGTATTGTTTAGTGTCAAAGTATGATGTAAAAGCAATGTCAATGTCACATTGTATGTGTTGCAATGTTGGTAAAGAATAAAAGATTGTGTTCTATACTGCACATGTACAATTCAGTGTCACATTGTATTGTGTAGTGTCAAAGTATGATGCAAAAGCAATGTCAATGTCACATTGTAAGTGTTGCAATGTTGGTAAAGAATAAGAGATTGTGTTCTATACTGCACATATACAATTCAGTGTCACATTAATTGTATTGTTTAGTGTCAAAGTATGATGTAAAAGCAATGTCAATGTCACATTGTATGTGTTGCAATGTTGGTAAAGAATAAGAGATTGTGTTCTATACTACACATATACAATTCAGTGTCACATTGTATTGTTTAGTGTCAAAGTATGATGTAAAAGCAATGTCAATGTCACATTGTATGTGTTGCAATGTTGGTAAAGAATAAGAGATTGTGTTCTATACTGCACATGTACAATTCAGTGTCACATTGTATTGTTTAGTGTCAAAGTATGATGTAAAAGCAATGTCAATGTCACATTGTATGTGTTGCAATGTTGGTAAAGAATAAGAGATTGTGTTCTATACTGCACATGTACAATTCAGTGTCACATTGTATTGTTTAGTGTCAAAGTATGATGCAAAAGCAATGTCAATGTCACATTGTGTGTTGCAATGTTGGTAAAGAATAAATGATTGTGTTCTATACTGCACATGTACAATTCAGTGTCACATTGTATTGTTTAGTGTCAAAGTATGATGCAAATGCAATGTCAATGTCACATTGTATGTGTTGCAATGTTGGTAAAGAATAAGAGATTGTGTTCTATACTGCACATGTACAATTCAGTGTCACATTGTATTGTGTAGTGTCAAAGTATGATGCAAAAGCAATGTCAATGTCACATTGTATGTGTTGCAATATTGGTAAAGAATGAGAGATTGTGTTCTATACTGCACATATACAATTCAGTGTCACATTGTATTGTTTAGTGTCAAAGTATGATGCAAAAGCAATGTCAATGTCACATTGTATGTGTTGCAATATTGGTAAAGAATAAGAGATTGTGTTCCATACTGCACATATACAATTCAGTGTCACATTGTATTGTTTAGTGTCAAAGTATGATGTAAAAGCAATGTCAATGTCACATTGTATTGTTTAGTGTCAAAGTATGATGTAAAAGCAATGTCAATGTCACATTGTATGTGTTGCAATGTTGGTAAAGAATAAGAGATTGTGTTCTATACTGCACATATACAATTCAGTGTCACATTGTATTGTGTAGTGTCAAAGTATGATGCAAAAGCAATGTCAATGTCACATTGTATGTGTTGCAATGTTGGTAAAGAATAAGAGATTGTTTTCTATACTGCACATATACAATTCAGTGTCACATTGTATTGTGTAGTGTCAAAGTATGATGCAAAAGCAATGTCAATGTCACATTGTATGTGTTGCAATGTTGGTAAAGAATAAGAGATTGTGTTCTATACTGCACATATACAATTCAGTGTCACATTGTATTGTGTAGTGTCAAAGTGTGATGTAAAAGCAATGTCAATGTCACATTGTGTGTTGCAATGTTGGTAAAGAATAAGAGATTGTGTTCTATACTGCACATATACAATTCAGTGTCACATTGTATTGTTTAGTGTCAAAGTATGATGCAAAAGCAATGTCAATGTCACATTGTATGTGTTGCAATGTTGGTAAAGAATAAGAGATTGTGTTCTATACTGCACATATACAATTCAGTGTCACATTGTATTGTTTAGTGTCAAAGTATGATGTAAAAGCAATGTCAATGTCACATTGTATGTGTTGCAATGTTGGTAAAGAATAAGAGATTGTGTTCTATACTGCACATGTACAATTCAGTGTCACATTGTATTGTTTAGTGTCAAAGTGTGATGTAAAAGCAATGTCAATGTCACATTGTATGTGTTGCAATGTTGGTAAAGAATAAGAGATTGTGTTCTATACTGCACATATACAATTCAGTGTCACATTGTATTGTTTAGTGTCAAAGTATGATGTAAAAGCAATGTCAATGTCACATTGTATGTGTTGCAATGTTGGTAAAGAATAAGAGATTGTGTTCTATACTGCACATATACAATATAGTGTCACATTGTATTGTTTAGTGTCAAAGTATGATGTAAAAGCAATGTCAATGTCACATTGTATGTGTTGCAATGTTGGTAAAGAATAAGAGATTGTGTTCCATACTGCACATATACAATTCAGTGTCACATTGTATTGTTTAGTGTCAAAGTATGATGTAAAAGCAATGTCAATGTCACATTGTATGTGTTGCAATGTTGGTAAAGAATAAGGGATTGTGTTCTATACTGCACATATACAATTCAGTGTCACATTGTATTGTGTAGTGTCAAAGTATGATGCAAAAGCAATGTCAATGTCACATTGTATGTGTTGCAATGTTGGTAAAGAATAAGAGATTGTGTTCTATACTGCACATATACAATTCAGTGTCACATTGTATTGTTTAGTGTCAAAGTATGATGCAAAAGCAATGTCAATGTCACATTGTATGTGTTGCAATGTTGGTAAAGAATAAGGGATTGTGTTCTATACTGCACATGTACATTTCAGTGTCACATTGTATTGTTTAGTGTCAAAGTATGATGTAAAAGCAATGTCAATGTCACATTGTATGTGTTGCAATGTTGGTAAAGAATAAGAGATTGTGTTCTATACTGCACATATACAATTCAGTGTCACATTGTATTGTTTAGTGTCAAAGTATGATGCAAAAGCAATGTCAATGTCACATTGTATGTGTTGCAATGTTTATTGACACATTATGTCGCAATGTCCCGTTGTGTTGACTTTGTAATGTTAAGTATTGTATTTGTTATTGTCCATCGTGTTATAGTGGACATTGCGTTGTAACGTTTAGTGTCACATTATGTAATTATATTCAGTGTAACATTGTGTAATGTTTAGTGGCACACTGTGTTGTAATGTTAAGTGTTACACTGTGCCATAATATTTAATGTCACACTGTGTTGTAATGTTAAGTGTCACACTGTGCCGTAATATCCAGTGTCACACTGTGTTGTAATGTTAAGTGTCACACTGTGCCGTAATATTCAGTGTCACACTGTGTTGTAATGTTATGTGTTACATCGTGCCATAATATTTAGTGTCACGGTGTTGAAATGTTATGAGTCACATTGTGCCATAATATCCAGTGTCACACTGTGTTGTAATGCTTATTGTCACATAATGTCATAATATTCATTGCCACGCCATAATATTCAGTGGTACACTGTGTTGTAATTTTAAGTGTCACATTGTGCCATAATATTCAATGTCACACTGTGTTGTAATGTTAAGTGGCACATTGTGCCACAATATTCATTGTCACACTGTGTTGTAAGGTTTAGAGTCACACTGTGTCATAATATTCAGTGTCACACTGTGTTGTAATTTTAAGTGTCACATTGTGCCATAATATTCAGTGTCACACTGTGTTGTAATGTTAAGTGTCAAGTTTTGTTGTAATGTTAAGTGTCAAGTTGTTATGTTAAGAGTCACATTGTGTTATGGTCAATATACTATGTACTGTTTTGTTGTTTTAGGAGGCGATTACAATTGAACTCGAATCAGTCCATCTTCCTGCTTGTGAATAACCGCTCCATGGTGGCCAATTCTACATTGCTTTCTGAGGTGTACGAGAAGGAGAAAGATGAAGATGGATTCCTGTACATTGTGTATGCATCACAGGAAACATTTGGTACATGAGGCAATGTATATTGCCATACAACAATTTGTAAATAGCTGAAGAATAGCCAGGGACGGTTATCATTGCTTGCCATATCGTACATTCCTCAAACAACCTGTTTTTATAAACATTGTCTTTAGAAACTTTTATTTTGTACGGCCAAGGAGTGTTTTGTCAAAATTATGTGTTCAAAAAACTTTCTTTTTTGTACTGCTGACTGAGACTTATTTACTGTACGATATATGTAAAACTAATTGTACCTAAATACACAATTAGGCAGGTTATGGGTCTCTACTTAATGAAATAAGTTTGAGGCAGATTTAAAGATTGATGAAACCATATATCCGTATGCTTGCAAATGCATACTATGTAAGAAGTGTACAAATTAATATGTGTCTAGAAGTGTTAGTAGTAGATAGCCAACAAGGACATGCTCACAGTTTCAAGACAACCCATCCCAAGACAACTCATCCCTAAGACAACTCATCCCAAGACATCTCATCCCCAAGACAACTCATCCCAAGACATATCATCCCTAAGACAACTCATCCCAAGACAACTCATCCCTAAGACAACTCATCCAAAGACATCTCATCCCTAAGACAACTCATCCCAAGACATCTCATCCCTAAGACAACTCATCCCAAGACAACTCATCCCTAAGACAACTCATCCCAAGACATCTCATCCCTAAGAAAACTCATCCCAAGACAACTCATCCCAAGACATCTCATCCCTAAGACAACTCATCCCAAGACAACTCATCCCTAAGACAACTCATCCCAAGACAACTCATCCCTAAGACAACTCATCCGAAGACAACTTATCCCCAAGACATCTCATCCCAAGACATCTCGTCCCAAGACAACTCATCCCAAGACAACTCATCCCAAAGACAACTCATCCCTCATACACCTCATCCCTAAGACAACCCATCCCAAGACAACTCAGCCCAAGACAACTCATCCCAAGACATCTCATCCCAAGACAACTCATCCCAAAGACAACTCATCCCTCATACACCTCATCCTTAAGAAAACTCATCCCAGAGACAACTCATCCCTAATACATCTCATCCCAAGACATCTCATCCCTAAGACAACTCATCCAAGGACATCTCATCCGAAGGCATCTCATCCCAAGACAATTCATCCCTAATACACCTCATCCCTAAGACAACTCATCCAAAGACATCTCATCCCCAAGACAACTCATCCCAAGACATCTAATCCCAAGACAACTCATCCCAAGACATCTAATCCCATGACAACTCATCCCCAAGACATCTCATCCCAAGACAACTAATCCCAAGACATCTTGTCCCAAAGACAACCCATCTCTAAACAACTCATCTCTAAGACAATTCATCCCACAACAACTCATCCCTAAGACAACTCATCCAAAAGACAGCTCATCCCTCCCTTAGACAACTCATCCCTCCCTTAGACAACTCATCCCTACAACAACTCATCCCTAAGACAACTCATCCAAAAGACAGCTCATCCCCCCCTTAGACAACTCATCCCTCCCTTAGACAACTCATCCCTACAACAACTCATCCCTAAGACAACTCATCCAAAAGACAGCTCATCCCTTCCTTAGACAACTCATCCCTCCCTTAGACAACTCATCCCTACAACAACTCATCCCTAAGACAACTCATCCAAAAGACAGCTCATCCCTCCCTTAGACAACTCATCCCTTCCTTAGACAACTCATCCCTACAACAACTCATCCCTAAGACAACTCATCCAAAAGACAGCTCATCCCTCCCTTAGACAAGTCATCCCTCCCTTAGACAACTCATCCCTAAGACAACTCATCCAAAAGACAGCTCATCCCTCCCTTAGACAACTCATCCCTCCCTTAGACAACTCATCCCTCCCTTAGACAACTCATCCCTAAGACAACTCATCCAAAAGACAGCTCATCCCTCCCTTAGACAACTCATCCCTACAACAACTCATCCCTAAGACAACTCATCCAAAAGACAGCTCATCCCTCCCTTAGACAACTCATCCCTCCCTTAGACAACTCATCCCTACAACAACTCATCCAAAAGACAGCTCATCCCTCCCTTAGACAACTCATCCCATGCTCACCATGACAGTGCACCACAACTATGCACCATGACTAACTCTGTTATGCAATAACATATTTTTAAAGTCTTTAAATAAATCAAAAGATAACAAAAGCATTAATTATCAAAAACAACTGCCATGAACCGTCTGAATGTACATATAAGTGTATAGCCACTTTTAACACATCTCGTTCACGTTGGACATGGGCAGTAACAATTTAAAGATGGCTGAATTATTTCTACAACTGAGATTTTTAAATACTAGAAATATATTTTAAAGCTCTCTAAAAGTAGATTATTTTTCAAAAATATATTTTAATATATATATTCTTATCTGTTGTATTGAGTACATGTATTGTATTGTATTGCTTTATTTCCTTCATATTGAAGATTTACAACATTTAATTAAGAGTAAATTATATTTGTCAACAAGATACAACAGAGTACCCCCCTTAACTGTAGAAGATATTTATAGACGTTTGAGAATTTTCTTCATCCTAGATATGTAGTCATGTTTTCTTCAATTGTCAGCATTAATGATGGTGGATCTTACTCATCGTATTGTGTCTTACAGTGGCCCCATATAGTTTCAAAATAATCTATTTCTGTTAATTGTATTCCATGACTTAAAAAGTTGTGTAAGGCAGTTGTTAGCCTTTTATTTGAGAAATATTTGTATTTCCCAAAGTGATCTAAAAGTAACATGGATCTCATAAGTTGGCAGCATTATATATGAATATTATAACATTATATAACACTGCCCTTAATAACTAAGACAGCTCCCAATATATAGAGCACTGTACTTTAGCTCCTATAGAGCTATACATTAATTGTATCAACGTTGGTGCTATTTTTGAATCAAGATATCAAAATTAATTTAAGTCTTTTTCGTCTTCAATCTTCAATTTTTGGTGGCAAAAAGTTTGTTTAACAATACAACGACAAAAAATTCATGATGTAATTTATATATTTCTAAAACATATATCATAGTAGTACATTATTATTTTAATCCCAACAACCAGCAATTACTTTTCCGTAACCAATATGTAATGGAATTAAATACATAATAATTGTAAAAATAAATATTACATATAAAATATAGTAATTTGTGTCAACATCTCAGTTTGCATTTTAACTTTACACTCAGTCAATATAAATACACTTAAAAGTAATCTTCTTAGATACTTCTGAACTAAAAAAATAAGATAATAGACGTGGCATCTATTGATCCATCAGAGAAACTATAATATATTGTCTAGATTGATGATGTCATTGGTTGTAGCTAGCAAACTGTCAATGCAAAAATAGTATTAACTTATTGCTAATTTTGAACAATTACAACCTATGACATCATCAATCTAGCCAATATATTGTAGTTTCTCTGATGGATCAAAAGATGGAACAATTTAGTGTAAACGTCTATTCAAAATTAATAAATTGAATTATTTGTTGTAGCAGTATGTAGATACATGAGAATAATCCAGATCCACAATACAAGTCAATGAGGAATTATAACAAACATAATTCTCATGTAAAACCTGTATAAGTGGAACAACCTGGTACCTCTAAAAATGTCTAACTTTCAGAGGTGTTCCACTACACAGGTTTCACTGTATAAATATTGAATTCAATTAACCATCACGTCTATGTTTAAATAAATAAGTTGAAATTGTCAGAAAACTCCATGTATGTAATGTTAAAGATTAGAAATCACAGCATTGATTCACAGCCATAGTTTGTTCCTTTAAAGAACTGCATTCCATATTACATATATAGCTACAGATCTGTTTCAATATCAAACTGTCCACTGGATAGTAATAGGAGATATAAAGCATGATTATTCAAGAAGTGGTCCACATTATATTTAAAGGGAAAGTCAGTCCTAGAGTTGAATAGATTGCTAGTATTATTCCATATGGTAAAGCGATAATACCAATTGTGCTGAAATATTAAAATTGCAGCTTTTCAAAGCTTAAGAAAAAACTAAAAAAAAATTTTTTAATCATGGCAATTTATGTCTCATTTTCCCTTTATTTGCAAATGAATAATTAGAGCACCATACAATTGAAAGTGAGGGCCATTTGTCAATGATTGCGCTTGATCGTATTAATACTGTATCATGACCACTGTTAGTGTGATGTTCTATCCTCAATATGAGATCATGGACTTGTAGAATTCACAATTGATGCTGTCACTCCATTTGTTAATGTTGTTAACACGTTTGTCATTGTCATAAGCATTGGTGTCTGTGAATGCAATGTCACAATTGATGAGTTTTCAGTTGTTGCTAATGGACTATAAGTTGAGTCTTTAGCCATTGCATTTGTTGAGATTGACATTATTTCACTTACAGTGGTTGTAAAATTGCCTCTAGTCAAGTTTGCTGTCATAAAGTCATCAATATATTGCGTTATTTGAGGCCAGATTATGTCGTGAGTTGAGACGTAGATATCGTAAGCAACAGCAAAGCCAAAGTAGACAGGCAGTAGATGGTACATGTAGTAGACACACTTTGGTAGTGGGAGGGGGATACGTAGCTTACTGGAAAAAAAAAAATGTTTTCTAACCTCATAATTAATAAATATATCTCTTTTGCAATCTTAGTGTACTATAGTAGGACAATTGGATTTTCTAGAAAACCAATGCTATATAACAGAAATAACAGAATAACCTTTTTGAATATTTTTGAATTTTGACATCATGGTTAAATAAAAACATATTTATCAAAATATTATCAAGCCAATATTGAATAATACATTAACCAGCATCGATAACATAGATATCAGTGTGACATTTCAATGTTATTGCATTCATTAATTCCTGCAATAATCACACATTTTACATACATTAAATGGTCCTTACATGTATTCTGTGTTAAGGGAGGTCCATATCATAAAGTAAACAAGAATGCCTTGTTCAAGGTTCATCAACAGGGACACTGCTTTCTCTAATACTATTGCAAAACTCTGAAATAAAACAACAACATACAGGTAGTGCTACATACAAGCCTTTGTAATAAAACAACATATATGTAGTGCTACATACAAGCCTTGGAAATAAGTCCTGCAGTGATTACATTTGATTATGGAGAATGGCAATTTAAATATATTAGGGGGCATCATTTAGGTGTTAGTACATGATACAGGCAACTAGCCAGGATTTGCCAGGGGGGGGTTTCAGTTTTCAAAAATTTCTAGGGGAGTTCACAATAGACAATTTTGGCCCAAATATGGCTAAAATCACTTGAGAAGTGCTCAAAATGGTAAAAAACGACATGATTTTGAAATAATTTCTGGCCAGGCGGGGGGGGGGGGGGGGGGGGGGGGTTCGCCGCTAAGACCCCCCTGGCTACGGGCCTGTGATGTACATAGCACATCAACCTCTAAGGTACAACAGTAAATTTTAATCAATGTTGATTGTCAGTTCCTTACCTTTGGGTTATACATTGCAACACAGAATACCAAAGTAAATGCAACCAGGGACAGCACAGATGCAACAAGGCTGCAACACACAATATACATGATTGCATAAATTACTGAAATGATGCCAATAATGTAACCAGCATTACATTATAAGCATATCAATGGGAGTCTGGACTCATATAGATGGCAGTTTGCGCATTTTATCCAGTGTGGTTTGTATGTAATATTGCTATATGGAAACATCATAGAAATGTCATAAATAACATTAATGTTACCATTAAAAGATTCTTTGCAAACATTTTTAACATTCAGTATATCTGCATGTAACTATTAAGGTCCTTCAAAAGTAAGTAATACTAAGTATCTTGAGAAGCTTTTGTGCAAAATCTTTTGAACAACCGTTGTATAATTCTTACAAATATGTACATGTACATGTATGTCTGTGGTGAACTCACCATTGCTTACTGCAGCCTTTGCATCTACCTGATTGTGGGGAATATTTGGAGTTAGATGATGTCCAGAATGAAGAGACTATACCACTCACTGGAATAACACCAGTTGAAATATTTAAGATTTACAATGACTAAAAAAACAAATCTGAAAATTATGTCTTGGTAATGTGCAAAAATCATGCATAACATCCAAGATGTGTGAATCAATGTATAGATAGGCCAAGTGACTTCAAATCTAGAATTCTTGAAGAAACTGTATATGACTTACATGTATGATGTAAGGCAGCTCCTATAGTTAGATATGACACTGTAATACTGATCATTATGAATAACTCCACCAGGAGGGCAACCCAACTAAAGGACGGATACAAACTTTGGATAATCTGAAATAAAATACATAATGTAGTTAATCAATGCAAACATTTTTCACCTAATTATCTTGAAAACAACATCTTAAATATTAACAGTTGAATATAATAAATTGTACAAGCATTGATAGGTTCATTGCATAGGGAAATTGCTAATCAGGTTTTACGGTACAATATATTTTAGATACTGCATACATGCAATTATGTAAAATCCAACATCATTAACATATATACTCACTTTTGTCAATGGAATGGTTGAGATTTCTCCATTTTTCTCAGCTCTGAAAAAGTAAATATATTCTCCTTTAGACATAAGGAAAAAACAAGAAATACCAGTGACATTTCATTTTTTGAAATCGAGAGAAACAAGATTGTTTCTAAATTTTTGGTATTCCTAATTGAAGGTTTTGATTGGCTTGGCCTGCTTATGACATGTGATTGAATGTGCATATTTACAAAGATCTGACTCAAGAATTTGATTATTGGAACCAATAGCCCCTTCAACATGATAATAAACATATAATAAATAGCCTTACTCTTCTAGACTGAGATTGTGGTAACAGAGCATCCTCTGTTGTGTGGCTTGTCCTGTCATTATGTGGAATGTATTGTTCTCCTTCATGTTGTATGAGAAGCAACTGTTTAACTGTGGTACTATATCCAACACTGACCAGCACCTGTAACCATAGAAACAACATTATTAAACAAAAGAGAATATGATGCAATATTGTAAAAATACAGTCCCAAACCCAAAGAGGATTGGCTCCCAGAGTGCAACATCGATATTCTGTCCAATATATGGTCATGATGTAAAATTCGAATCCAAACAGCCGCCATTTTGTTCACTTCAACATTTGAATTGTGAATTTTGGTCTTATTTCCTGACAAAAAATTCCAAAATTCACAAGAAATGATCGAGATATTAGTTCAAATCTTTTGAACTGTTTATTTTGAATTTATAGTCGACAGACATTTCCACATTTTCATTGTTGGAAAATATCGAGTTTCGATCCTGGGAGCCAATCCTCCTTGTCCCAAACCCCAAAAATCATACATGATGCAATTGTGTATTCTTTGGGCTAAGTCCCACTTGGATGAGACAAATCACCATCAAACAATGTAACAAACTCTAAATCACTCTTACTTATGATGTTCTGAACAAGAAGAATAGCTACTAAGCAAACTGACCAATGTGTACACATAAACTGAAAGATTTATCACCAGACTTGAAGGAGCTGTTTATATAGGTGATAGAATGTCTTACCAGAGTATATTGAGTATGGCACATGTACCTAGGCCTGCTAGAACAGCTGTTCTGAATCCCCTCACCTGGGACCTGACAGGGGCCACCTTCCCATACAACATGGGCATAACATTAATCACACCACCTACAGTAATGGAAAATAAAGGTTATCATAAGTCTCATATTTTAAACGTTCATTAAATGCTCATTGCGTTCATACTGATGATATTGCCTTCTCTGCTTTCTTACTACATTACATTGTATTTTAATGATTTTATTATTTGTCAGAAAAATGGTTTCTACATATACTATATACACTTAAGCCTTTATCACAGACGGTCACTACCATTGTTAAATTGTCGTTTTTTCACTTGACATTCAATGCCTCTATCAACTGCAGCGCTATAAGTAGCCATTTAATAAACATTATCAATCAAATGCAATACAAGTTGACAACTGTACAGCATGCCACTCACCCAATGCAACTGTTCCCATGAGGAAAGGAGCCCCAATGTAAGTGAAATCATTATCAATCTAATGCAATACAAGTTGACAACTGTACAGCATGCCACTCACCCAATGCAACTGTTCCCATGAGGAAAGGAGCCCCAATGTACGTGAAATCATTATCAATCTAATGCAATACAAGTTGACAACTGTACAGCATGCCACTCACCCAATGCAACTGTTCCCATGAGGAAAGGAGCCCCAATGTACGTGAAATCATTATCAATCTAATGCAATACAAGTTGACAACTGTACAGCATGCCACTCACCCAATGCAACTGTTCCCATGAGGAAAGGAGCCCCAATGTACGTGAAATCATTATCAATCTAATGCAATACAAGTTGACAACTGTACAGCATGCCACTCACCCAATGCAACTGTTCCCATGAGGAAAGGAGCCCCAATGTACGTGAAATCATTATCAATCTAATGCAATACAAGTTGACAACTGTACAGCATGCCACTCACCCAATGCAACTGTTCCCATGAGGAAAGGAGCCCCAATGTACGTGAAATCATTATCAATCTAATGCAATACAAGTTGACAACTGTACAGCATGCCACTCACCCAATGCAACTGTTCCCATGAGGAAAGGAGCCCCAATGTACGTGAAATCATTATCAATCTAATGCAATACAAGTTGACAACTGTACAGCATGCCACTCACCCAATGCAACTGTTCCCATGAGGAAAGGAGCCCCAATGTACGTGAAATCATTATCAATCTAATGCAATACAAGTTGACAACTGTACAGCATGCCACTCACCCAATGCAACTGTTCCCATGAGGAAAGGAGCCCCAATGTACGTGAAATCATTATCAATCTAATGCAATACAAGTTGACAACTGTACAGCATGCCACTCACCCAATGCAACTGTTCCCATGAGGAAAGGAGCCCCAATGTACGTGAAATCATTATCAATCTAATGCAATACAAGTTGACAACTGTACAGCATGCCACTCACCCAATGCAACTGTTCCCATGAGGAAAGGAGCCCCAATGTACGTGAAATCATTATCAATCTAATGCAATACAAGTTGACAACTGTACAGCATGCCACTCACCCAATGCAACTGTTCCCATGAGGAAAGGAGCCCCAATGTACGTGAAATCATTATCAATCTAATGCAATACAAGTTGACAACTGTACAGCATGCCACTCACCCAATGCAACTGTTCCCATGAGGAAAGGAGCCCCAATGTACGTGAAATCATTATCAATCTAATGCAATACAAGTTGACAACTGTACAGCATGCCACTCACCCAATGCAACTGTTCCCATGAGGAAAGGAGCCCCAATGTACGTGAAATCATTATCAATCTAATGCAATACAAGTTGACAACTGTACAGCATGCCACTCACCCAATGCAACTGTTCCCATGAGGAAAGGAGCCCCAATGTACGTGAAATCATTATCAATCTAATGCAATACAAGTTGACAACTGTACAGCATGCCACTCACCCAATGCAACTGTTCCCATGAGGAAAGGAGCCCCAATGTATGTGAAATCATTATCAATCTAATGCAATACAAGTTGACAACTGACTGTACAGCATGCCACTCACCCAATGCAACTGTTCCCATGAGGAAAGGAGCCCCAATGTACGTGAAATCATTATAAATCTAATGCAATACAAGTTGACAACTGTACAACATGCCACTCACCCAATGCAACTGTTCCCATGAGGAAAGGAGCCCCAATGTACGTGAAATCATTATCAATCTCATGGTGGATCTCAGAGCCAACAATAAATGTCACAATCACCTGTAATAATTTAGTGCATATAGTAGTTTTATATCATTAGCAATTGTCATGGGTCTCTTTAATTCATTTCTCATAATGGTATCCTGGTTTGGATGTGGGTATTATTGCTGGTAGAGGGGCATTTTTGGGGACGAAAAGTGGGTTAAATAGATCTTGATGTGAATATCAGTATACATATAGCTACATTTCTATGCATAGAACTACATGTATATTTTTCTTAAAATGTGTTAATCATATGACTGCAAGATTATAATTGTTAATCCTCAATGGTTCTTAAAAAAGGAATAAAATAACATTATTTTCTATTTTTCATTGGTGTAAGTCTGTAAGACATGCCATTTTATGGTTACACTTACGGTGCCTAGCAACAGGGACCCCTTGGCAAATGTAAGAATGGATACTATTGGCTGGATGAGTTGTAAGGCAAATACAATGGCTGCAGTGAGCACCCAACAGAATACAGGAATCACATAGATAAACCTAAAAAGCAAGAAAACATAATGTAAAAATTCACTTTTTATAAATATGAGAATTTGAAGTTATTAAAAATTAGAATATAACATCGGTCTTGGACATTGATCTACTTTAAGTGGGGAATTTTGTAACCAGGAGTGTACTTTAAAAAGTTCAAGGGAACAACATAATACTTACGGTATTCCAATGACTTGAGCATAGGCCTCACTGCCAGCCAATGCATAGCAAATCAGCAGTGAAATACTAATATGCAAATAAGAGAAGACATGAATCATAGACATATCACAACAATTGTCACTTTGGCATATTAAAGCTGCAATTTGAATAGAATTTAATTTATAGGAGATGTGACATTTCTTTATTACAGTATTTAAGTATTCCAAATGTATCTAATCCAATTTTGACAATTAAATCAAAACCCATAAAGCACACTAAAAAATGAGTATAGATGTCAAATAATCAATGCACCAGAGACAAATAAAAAAATTGTTATTACATTGTATTATGCGTCTCTATTTGGACTGATAGAGTGTAGATGAAACATTGAATATTCGCTGATTGACTTTTGCACAATTTGAGAATGATGATATACTTACAATTGTAGAAGAATGACTAGATCAAAGAACTGCCTCATCCCACAGCACAGAAACAGCTCAGCTAGCAGATGAAGGTTGGGAGCCTGCACTTCACTCTCTTTGGGAAGAATAACATGGCCAGCTAGTACTGCATCTATGGGAAACATACAGTCTTAATTCATTTGTCTTTCTAGATGAATTTTGAGCAGCTAAACTGCTTTTTTATATATTGTACTTGAATCATGTTTAAATACTGAAATAAATGTTCAACATAATCAGGTCAGTTTAACATAATCTCAGGCTGGAAGAGCAAGGCTGTCGTTTATCTAGTATTAGTTCACCATAGTCAATCAATACATGTATTAATCTCAAATTCAAGATTCGCTATTTTTGATATTTTTATTGTAAAAATGTTTGCTTCGATAATTTCTTTAAAATATTTTACAAACTATCCATAATACACACACTCCACACTTTGTTTGTTTTATATCATTTTCCCAACATCAAAATAGATTTTTAGTGTTCCTACCACTAGTTTCTGTCTCATCATCTGCCTCAGAGAATGTGTCATAGTCAAGTTCTGTCAGTGGCACTGCCTCAAAGTCTGCTCCTTCCTCCTTTTAAACATTAGTATGAACAGAATTAATGGAAATAGTGGTAAATATGAACAATATGTTTGGTAAATGTGTACAATATGTTTGGTAAATGTGTACAATATGTTTGGTAAATGTGTACAATATGTTTGGTAAATGTGTACAATATGTTTGGTGAATGTGTACAATATGTTTGGTAAATGTGTACAATATGTTTGGTAAATGTGTACAATATGTTTGGTGAATGTGTACAATATGTTTGGTAAATGTGTACAATATGTTTGGTAAATGTGTACAATATGTTTGGTGAATGTGTACAATATGTTTGGTAAATGTGTACAATATGTTTGGTAAATGTGTACAATATGTTTGGTGAATGTGTACAATATGTTTGGTGAATGTGTACAATATGTTTGGTAAATGTGTACAATATGTTTGGTAAATGTGTACAATATGTTTGTTCAAGGTTAAGGTGTAGATCCTTGAGTTTAGATTGGGGTTGAGAAAGCTTGAGCTGAATCAACTTGTGTTTGAGAAAGACAGAGTCATACTGGGTTGAATTAATATATCATGGACTTTCTTCACTGGGGATCAATTGGAAACGAAGACAATTGTCTTCATTTCAACATGGCCAGACATTCCTGAGCTAATTGTCTTCTTTTACAGTGATCCCCAGTGCTGCTTGAGAAAATTGGCTCACTGGATGTCAGGAAAGCAGAGACATGCACAAGGTATTTAACTCCAAAACCTCTCAGTTAGTTAAAGGAAATTTTACATATAGTTTTACTATACTTACCTTTTTATTTAATAATTGTGCTGCATGAGCTCGCTGTAGAAGGTCCACGAAAAACACAATCAGAAGGGCCTACAATATATGTACAATACAATACGATATGAAATAATACAATACATGTACAATACAATAGGAAACAATACATTACAAAACAATTGTTTTTAGTTTAGCTAATTTTTTGTATATGCTTAAGTTCAAGTAATTATTTGGTTAATCATAAAAAATGTACAGTCTTATACATTAAACGTGACACTTGATACTGGCGAGAAAGTTTTGACTAGTTCAAAGTTGGTTCTAAGTTGACATAATATCATGTGCACTGATATCATTTTTTCTGCGTTGAATAATGAGCAAAAATAACAAAAATGTATGATATTTAATTACATGTATGTTCACAAAACATTCACTCTGAAGATTCTGTCATTTGTATTGTAGTACTGTAGATTGGGTTAATTTGGCGCCCGCTTTAATTTGGCGAATTTGGCGAAATTGAAAAATTCGCCAATATAAATCTTCGCCAAAATTTAGAATGAATCCCCGGGAATTATCTAGGGTATTTCGTCCAGTGTATTTAGGTCACTTCAGGTTAAGTTTTTTCCAAAAATATGAAAAAGTGTCTCTCATAAATTGGCTCAGAACTGGTCAGTCACTCATTAATACTCAGTGAAAAACTAGAAAGGAAAAGCGCGGTATAGTAGCAGCATCGGTCGAGGTGCAAAATGTAAAGGATGATCTCACAAAAATGTACAAACGTGGTGAATATCGCCAGTGGTCCTCAAAAGAAAAAATGAACATAGCCAAACATGCCCATTTACATGGTACAGCGTGTAAGTTTAACATTTTTTTTGCATATCCGTCAAATTAAATAGCCGCCAATATGCCAAAAATAACAAAATCGCCAAATTAAGTAGCGCCAAATTAACCCAATCTACAGTATTATTGTCTATGTCTCATGACAAATAAATTGAATTTGATTCTCATAAAAAACAAATATCAATATCAATGCAGTCCAAAGTTTGGCACATCATCGTAATATTAACCATTTTGAACATTGACAAATGGCACTTTAATCACCTTTGAAACTTTGTGTACCTTGTAAATATAGTTTTCATTATATTGTAATCATACATTTATAATTTACCTGGAAGAAGAACCCCAGTAGGAAAGATACAAGGAATGGGTAGACTCCCGATTTACTAAGTGTCACTGGGAGACCTGAAATATAATATAAACAGAAAATCATAATCAACTTAATGAAAGAAAGATTACTCTATAATGTCAGACCTTAATTCATCAAAATAGTGTCTTGAACAAACACATTCTATAAACATGTTTGAAGGGTACAAATCAATAAGCATTTCAGTTAAATTAATCATCTAGTCTAGACTAGTTTATGACCTGGGCTCCAAAAATCTTTGTTATTTAAGGATGCATATACTGTAACTATCAAGGGCTTAGAAAACAATGAAAATGAGTTTTTTAAGAATATCATCAATTAGATTCATTTGAACCCATCAATTAAATCCAATAAATACGCTTTCGCTATCTTATCATATGTGAAAGTGCTCTAATAACAAAAGTGAAAGTATTTGGCCGTTGTTAGGAATTCCCCAAAACAAATGTCACAATGAATATCTCCATACCATCCATCGCATATTGACGTAATATTTGTAGCCCTCTCTTATGAAAAGCCAATTTAATTGGACGTTATTTCCCTAACAACGATAGAGAAAAAAACCAAAATGTTAGTGGATTCCCCAAATTATTTCACATTTATAAACAAAATTAACACTCACTTGGGTAAAATAAGTGTTTTATCATATTGGAATCGATTCCTCATATTAATTCAAATATATAAATTTAATAGCATATAATGCTTTCAAGAAATAAGCCCAAAAACTGAAATTTTATTGTAATTGAATTAAGGTGGCCCCCTCATTAAATACAATGGTCGAAACATTCTGAAAATTGCTAAAAGTAGGGATCATAATAACAGCTCCCACTCCATCAATATTTTATCAATTTCTATTTTCTTTATATGGAATGAAAGATGAATATACACTCTAAATGCGTAAGTAAAAATCAGATATGCACAGCAACATGCTGTATTAAAGCTTTGAATAGGAGTGAAAATCACTTTAATAGTTACATATAATTATACAACCATTAAGTAGAGAGCTGGAACATTTATGTTTTTCCTTTCATGTTCAGCTATAATGTGGGACTGAGTGTTAAACTGTAATTTACAGATACCATAGGAGATAATGGAGAACACAGCTTGATATACAAGTCTTCATGTTACATTTGCATATGCACTGAACAATGAAACTTGGATAAGTGAACACATCTTACCATGAACACCTGTGTCTAGTGAACACCCCTTCTCAGCACATACTCCACTGACTTCTGTATAAAATTGTCCCTCTGTAGTGAACACCTACCTCTGCAGTGATCACATTTTTTGTGGCTCCATGGGTGTTCACTATACACAGGTTTTACATACACACATGTACATATACATGTATGTACTAAACTACAACAACCAACAAAAATGATAAATGAATGTGTATTTTGAACTGCTAAGAGGGATTATATGAGTAGGTCTCTAAGTACATTTATTGCTTATCTTAATACATGATTAATCTTTTTACTTGATGCAATTGCCACTTGAAAAGGTTTTATGATTATGTTTAATAAGCTTATATTCGCGAATGCAAATATCCGCTACCGCCTATCCTGTTTATTGCAGTTTGAGGGCAAAATATGAAGAGTACCTGACATGCTTCCCGTTAGCTGCCACCTCTCGCTAAAAACCCAGTCTCTGACCTTAATAATGGATTAATCTGCCTATTCAACAGCATGTAACAATGACCTATGGTCTGTTTGCCAATTCGACCAAACGGCTTTATTATAATTGATCCTTTCATTGGTATAAAAAATCATGTGATCACTGTTCGTCGGTTGATGGGTTGTTTGTAATGACAACTTCAAAATCATGATGGGTTAATTTATGAAATGAATAGGTAATAATTTGGTAGCCGCTATTTGCATTTGCGAATACAAGCTTAAACCAGCTGATGATATACACTGTACAGTGTATCTAAGAATGATATGCGTACATATTTAAAATATTAATAAATGTACAGGGTGTCAAAAAACAACGGCACCCCCTCTTCTGCAAAAAGTACTTAATGTTACATGGTGTGTCATATCTCATTTTAAAGACAATTTAATTCTGGAGTTATCTGAGAAATTTCAGCTTTATATCATATAATTTTACAGATTTACAGCTGATTCTTAGTAGTTGGTATGACCACCAGTTGCTGCTCAAACAGCAGCTTATCTGGACGGATAAGATTTCAATAAAAATTCAGATAAAGGTGAAGCATTGCATAATCCTCTCACTTTCCTCACATTCTTCAGAAATACATCCTAACTGTATCTTTTTTCAAGAGGCTTTTTGTCCATCAGTTCCTATACCCTGTTTTTCAGAACTGAACCCATATGTTCAGTGCAGTTGAAATCTGGGCTAATTCTTTCATATTCCACTTTCTTAAGATTTGACCTTTAACCAGTAACAGAGCAGCAAACAAAGTACCGTAGTAGCAAACTTTGAAACAATGTAGCTTTTTTTTAATATAAAGTTTTATTAAATGGAATTTGATGAGTAACTCCAGCATTAAATTATCTTTCAAATGAGGTATGACACGATATGGAACATTCAGGACTTTTTGCTGTAGAGGGGGGTGCCGTTGTTTTTTGACACCCTGTATACTTATTTAAATTTGAAAACATTCTTACCTAGAACTCCTGTACCCAATATAGTTGCTATGGTAACAAAATCTGCAAAGGCAAAGTATGGAAAATAATCTTTTTGACTAAATACTTTAATTTATTCGATCAGAGCACTATAGAATTGCAACTGTATTCCCAAATTATCTGTATTACTACTCCATTCATTGGGTGAATTTTAATATTTCAAAAGGATACAGATTCCCTTGGGATCAACTGGAAACGAAGACATGATGTCTTCGTTTCAGCATTGCCAAACTTTCGGTAGAAGAATTTTGTAAGTTTTTTGATTTTGTCTCCTTTATATTAAATTTTAACATAATATTAGGCCAGTATGTAGTGCGTAGGTTCCGGTTTTGAAATATGATTACATGTCAGAAATGGATAAAGTAATTACATGTATTTCAATATTTACAAATTAGTTTCCTTGCTTAGGAAATGAAGACAGTTTTCCATTTTGTAGCAATGCAGTGATCTCCTCAGCATTAAAGCAAGCGGGCGCAGCACCAACCTGAGATTTTGAAGAAGACACACTTGCACCCACCTGAATAAATGTTTGCACCCACTTGGAAAATGAGAAGAATCATGAAAAATGTGCATATTTTGACCAATTTTGGTCTGAATTGTGAAATGAGAATTTGCAACCACTTGACAAAAATCCTGGAGAGAACACTGCAATGATACAAAGACATGCTTTATTTGCAACAAAGACATTTGTTTTTACTAGTGCAGATATCAACCTAGTAATATTCCTATAGAGGGTTACTTTTGCACTTGAAACCACATATGTCTTTGGGAATGTAACTATTTTTTGACATTACCCCTTTACTTAAAGTATTTCAGATATCATTGAAATGTGTGGTCTTCATTTCATGCTTCAGAATACTATGTTTCATCTTTGTTTCTCTGAGAAACTGTCTCTGTTTCCTAATCGAGGGAGTTGTTTTGCCTTTATCCAGACAATTACTGTACATAGGAATAACCATTTTTCAAAATTGCAAACACTGATCCCACATGAAAATAAACATTGTCTAATACCCCTCCCCACACCTTTCATGTACCATTATCAGCATTCGGGGCAATATACCACAAAGGGACATTTCATTTATACTGAAGTCACCAGCCAGAAGGTGTATTTCCAGACAAAGATCAGTGGAAATGTGTCTTTTGACGTATGTATTGAATGCATATAAACAGAGTAATGCTCATCTTGATTTAGATCTAATTTATTAAAACATTTCCTATAATTTTCATCCAATCACTCAATACGAAACATTACTTGTCAAGTGCAAATTTTTGAAATTTTTTTTGAGAAAAATATACATAAGCTGTTAACGTGTTTAAATAATCTAAAGGAACACTGTCAAAAACCCTACTGGTGATGTTACGTACTCTCAGAAATCATTGACAATATCATGAATCTCCATAGCTGGGAGACCCAATAATTTCCTAAAATATTTTTGATCAAAACAGAAAATTCTTTACAATTGGTAATTTCAACCCTTCTAGAATCAAAGAACTCCTTTGATGGGAGGTGGACAATTAACAATTTATATAACATTAAAAAGAATGTTCCTTTAAATGATCTGCAAATCATTACACTACCATCAATGTCCTTATTAATCCAATTTAGAGTGTCTTATATTATTCACTTGAAAAATGCATAGATTGTGCCCTTACAGCAACCCTGTTCAAAGTGAACACTAATAGTCCAGCTACTATCAAGTGGTCAAAGTGATATGAGTTCCAATACAAGGTTTCACTGTATACTGTAAATATGCCATGATACAGCTTATGGTAAAGTCTCTCCAGTGACCCTCTCTACCTCAAGCTTGGCATGGTAGATACAATCATTCACACTGACACCCTTGTAGGAGGCTCCTAGCAGGCTTAGTGGCAGCTTGTGGCTTTCTAGATACCCATTTATATTATCCATTACTTGGGAGTGTCCGATGACATACTGTGGAATACAATTACGCTGTAGAGTTGTACATACTTCAGAGGGGTCTGCTGTTATCCCCATCTGTTCCCTGACTGCTTCTAGGGCAAGGTCAGTAAATGTATCCAAGTTAGCAGTTTCTGGATCCCCAAATAATTGACGGAACCAAGCCCCACCCATCATACATGTGAGCCTAGTTGAGGGCTGGTCTTTGCGATCATGTTCAGGGAAATTACACGAGTCATACACTATTCCAAGTACTTTGGAATTCTCAGTAGAGGGGATCAGATGTCCGAATCCCAGAAAAGGCATTACTTGGCCCTTCAATTCTACATTCACAACTGCTACATCGACATATGGAATTTTAGAAAGTTCACTTGAAAGAAGCTGGTGATTTGTTGAAACTGCAGGTGACAGGTTCATAGCTGGTAGGGTAGAGAAAACATGGTCAACCTCAAGGATTTCTGAATTATCACAAGTGACCTTGACTCTAGGCCCTGAGAGGTCAAGGTCAGTACATTTTGTTTCAGTCATTATCTCAACATTTGGTTCAGCATTTAGAACGTCCACCATCCTGTCTGGAATACCTTGAATGCCATTGTCAAGTGACCAAATAGCCCAGCGTTCTTTTTTTGATCTTTCCACCAAGGGGCTTATACTCTGAACTTTTTGCTTCTCCCCAATTAAAGCACCTTTTATGATTCCCCCATTTTCTTGTTCAAATTTCCATAAATCGTGGAAAGTACTTTTAATGCTAAGTTGTTTAGCATCTCCAGCATACACACCTCTGCACAAAGGATCTATAGCATAATTAGCCATGTCTGAGCCAAGCCTCCTTGCCACAAAGTCATAGATAGTTTCATCTTCACCATTTCTTTTTCCTTTAGTGATAAGATCGTTTATTAGATAGCGAATAAAAGCTTTATCAAATGGCTCAGTTTTCCTAACTAGACTCTTAAAACTGTTTGGCAGAATATGAATCTTGTTATTCACATAGATGAATCTATTTTGAGCAGCTGGTCGAGATCGTGGAACAGCAATGATCTTAGATTCCAAACCAAGGTCCTCAGCAAGCTCTAATGCATTTATACCAGCCTGACCACTTCCACGTAAGCTCCTAGGGCCATGTTCGAATACAGCACCATTGTCTTGACGAACAGACTTTATCCATCCTCCCAAGTGATTAGAGCCCTCTATAAGAATGATACGTTTAAAGGCTTGTTGAGCTGTTCTGGTCAAATAGTAAGCTGTTGAAAGACCTGCTATTCCCCCTCCTAGAATAGCTGCCACGCTCATTGTATATAATTGTTTTCACAAGATATTGGTGGTTGAAATGTCACGTAATATTTTCAAGTGGATCACTATTGAAGTCGAGATGTTTAGATTTCCTTTCCTGAATACAAAAATATTTGAAATCCTTACAAGACATTCTTTCTGCATTGTAAGAGCCCACACCACACACAATGAAGGAAATGTGACATATAGAAAAGAAATATTGATTACTCTGGCTAAACAGGGTGCACCCCAGTTGTCCGAAACCCACTTGTCCGAAACCCATTACTCCGAAAAATATAGTCATAATTTACGAGAAAGGGGAGACGTACTTAAGCTTACGCCAGTTTCGTGCCATGTATTTGTTTCAAAAGATGTACGTGTCAACCTTACTAAATAAATGCCCACTGGCTTGGGAAAGCTATTTTTATGAACGCCCATCACCCATTGGAAAAATGTTGTTCCCTCTCAAAAAAGGCCCATGGGTCAAAAAGAAATATGGTTTAAAAATTGTAGACCTCTATGTATGTTGTGTAAACGCCATTTTACAATGAGAATAACATAATTTTAACTTTGTTTGTTTGAACATCTATCACCTGTATATGAACTTTCGTAGGCTAAACATTAAACAATTAACGTCTTGACTTAGGATATTTAGCCTAATATTGCAATGATGTCAACGTTATTCCAATGTTATGTTGTGATTCGCAGAGGTTGCGTCAACGAGATTCATTTAAAAAATTGTTTTTTTCAAATAAGATTCCCCTAATTTTCGGAGAACTGGGTTTCGGACAACTGGGTTTCGGAAAACTGGGTTTCGGACAACTGGGTTTCGGAGAACTGGGTTTCAGACAACTGGGTTGACCTTATCCCATTCCCGGACTATGGTCCTGTGAACATCTCAATCTTTTGCCTGTGTGATTACAACATGGGAGAATTTTTTACTGATCTTACACTTCAGATACCTACTTCAATAGATTCCTTGGTAATTTAGCATTCTTTTCGTGTAGTTGAATCCACAATTGTCTGGGTTTATCGGCAGAACAAAGACATTTTCGTTTTTGATCGCAATATTTGCGTGTAACATTTAACTTATTTCAACCGTCAAATTCCTCCATATTGGTACTTCCGGGCTACATCCGGGACAGTCAAAGGGGGGATTCCCCTTTTAAATCCAACCGCCATTTTGAAAAGTGATGGAATCTCTCTCGATGAAAAAGAGAAATGTTCCCGCTCTGCCGATATACCCAGACAATCGACGGTTCCAATATATTAGAAGTTACTTCTTGAGTTCTATAATGCATTGAGGTAGGTATCTTAAGTGTAAGGGGCGTAGATAATTCTCCCAAGTTGTAATCGTACAGGCAAATGAACGCGCTCAGTGCAGGACTATAGTCCGGGAACGGGATAAGGTTGACCCCGGCTAAACATAATGCCACCAGGATCCAAAGTGCAGATCTAATCAATCAAAGTCCAATACAAGTTTCCATTTAAGCAAATCAAATTTAAAAAATTCAAATTCAAACCTAAAAAAATTAGATAGATATCTACAGTGGGGGACAAAAATAAAACTCAACGTTCACAAGTTGTCACAATGAGCTAATTTCCAAGTTTCGTGTCTCAAACTCTCCCAAGCGGTAGAAAAATAATTCCCGTTCACTAAAGTAGCACAATAAATGAATCCAAAGCTTCATACCTGCAAATAATGGATAAATCCCTACCAAATCGAATGAATGTTTTCATGAATCGCCATGTTTGTTATCCAAGGACGGTTGACTCCCAGAATGCAACATCAGTTACAGTATTTACTCATGACAGGTTTCAAAATGGCGGAACAGCATTTTGAAAGCTGGCACGTGTCATGTTGCATTCTGGGAGCCAATCCTCCGTTCCGGCGCAATCGGGCGACAAAATCACCTCAACATTTGAAGAGTCGGCATAACATGTGAATATCCACTTCAACTTTCGAAGTTCTTATTTGTCATTAGGGACACAAATTCACTATATTTGGACTTACTCAGACGGAGAAAATAGAGCACTGAATACACTGAGGTAAGAATTTATTACATGTGCGACAGCATGTAATTTTCATAGCTTCTGCAATTCTTTATGATCCCCACTGTATCGAGACCCTATCTGTTGCAAGACTAACGCCTGGCGTAACCGTCACCATGTTATTCAGTGTTTTTTAAGTAGCGCAAGGACCCTGCCATGACCGTGGTAATGTTATCGTGAAAGCCTTGTATAACCGCGACAATGCTGTATTATATTGCAATGCCTGCCATGACCGTGACAATGTAATATAGTTCTACAAGGCTTGGTATGACCGTAACAATGTAATATAGTACTGCAAGGCCTGGCATGACCGTGACAATGTAATATAGTATTGCAAGTTCAGGTATGAGAGTGGTTATGTAGAAATTTACAATTAGGACTGCTATAACCGTGACAATGTGTATTGCAAAGCCTGGCATGACCATGGCAATGTAATGTAGTATTGCAAGGCTTGGTATGACCGCCATGGCAATGTGATATAGTATTCCAAGTTCGGGTATGAGAGTGGTAATGTAGAAATTTATGATTGCTATAATTGACCGTGACAATGTGTATTTGAAAACCTGGCATGACCATGACAATGTATTATGGGATCGCAAAGCCTGGTATGACCGTGACAATGTAATATAGTTCTGCAAGGCTTGGTATGACCGTAACAATGTAATATAGTACTGCAAGGCCTGGCATGACCGTAACAATGTAATATAGTATTGCAAGTTCAGGTATGAGAGTGGTAATGTAGAAATTTACGATTAGGACTGCTATAACCGTGACAATGGGTTTTGCAAAGCCTGGCATGACCATGGCAATGTAATATAGTATTGCAAGGCTTGGTATGACCGCCATGGCAATGTGATATAGTATTCCAAGTTCGGGTATGAGAGTGGTAATGTAGAAATTTATGATTGCTATAATTGACCGTGACAATGTGTATTTGAAAACCTGGCATGACCATGACAATGTATTATGGGATCGCAAAGCCTGGTATGACCGTGACAATGTAATATAGTATTGCAAGGCCAGGTATGAGGGTGGTAATGTAGAGATTTAGGCTTAGTTCTACTATGACCGTTATAATGTATTGCAATGACTAATAAATATGTATGACATTAATGCCAGGAATATCCTTAACAATTTTAAGTGATCCTCATTACAATTAAACAGTTTAATACTATGATCATGGTGCTTAGCTACCTTAATCATGTCAAAATCAAAATTACGACTATACATTAATATTCACATTTGCTTATAAACCACAATAAAGGCTACGGTCGCGCCAGGCTTCCACGATAACACTTCCAGGGTCATGACAGGTCTTGCAATAGAATACAGCATTGTCACGGTTATACCAGCCTGTCACGGTTATACCAGGCTTACACGATAACACTACCACGGTCATGGCAGGATCCTTGCGCTACTTAAAAAACACTGGTTAACATGGTGACGGTTGTGGCAGGCGTAAGTCTTGCAATAGATAGCATGTGACTGTATCTCAAAATAATTTCAAATCCAACATACAAATGCTGATATCGCGGGTAATTGTGAAAAATAAACAATGATAACTTTTGTAAATACTTACAAGATTGCATATACACTAATCCGACATGTTTAGTGCCTGTTTGTCCTCTACTCTGAGCGGTAGCAGTCAATTTCTCATCTAAAAGAGATTCACTCATTTCGGCTATCGCCATTTTGTAGGTCACGTGGCACAAAGTAGTTCTCTCGCACAAGATATTTTTGATCAAATTTTAAATAACAATCTTTATTGTATTTGGTAAAAATTGTGCATAAAATATTCAGATTTACGTTGTTTTTGATATTGTTTTACTGATTTGCTCGAATTACCAATGGGTCCAATTTGAATTTCAGTAATTGATTGGAATTTTTTTTAGATGCTAGAGTTTAAATAGGTCAATACGAATGTTCTTAGGTCCGAGTCTCAACAAAGTTTGCATAAAAGTGCTCCAGTTTAGAGGTATGATCTACGAACAGTTTAGAATTACGGCCATGTTTTTTAGTCGGAAATGCTGTATCTATACCTTATGAATGATTTAGTGAAACTGTCATTTGTTTTGAACAGTTTTTGCATGCCTAACTTGGACTTTTCTCGAATTTGTGAATTCAGTCAGATACCGGAAGTGGACTTTGGCATTACAGATTTGCAGTGGGAGGGGGTTGAATTTCATAGGTATAGGACTGATACTTGAATGTTACTCGAGTCTCTAGGAAATTTTACATGTGCTTGGAATAACATAACTTGAATGTATTCGGATGTTCCTCCAAAACTTAGAAAGCAAACAATTAGAATCGAATATCGATCTTTTTTCAAGTCTTTCCAAGATAACAATGTACATGTACATGTAGGTGCATTCATACGCCTCTGGGCCTTTATTTATATATCTGAGATTTGTCATAGCTCCAGAGGCGCATCACCAAGCATTTAAAAACCCAGGCAAGTTGGAATTCTGAAAAACAACGGATCTGTTGTTTTTGCTTTTTCTCTAGTGACCCTATCAAAACTCCGATAGTCAAATAAGTCATTAGAGCCGTGGATCCACGTCTAAGATAACAAATGTCCAAATATCAAAAAACCTCAAAACAACCCCACATTTATGGTGGTATTCTAAGAGGGAGTTATTTTGGCTCTGATACCAATACATGTATGGGCTATGAAGTCTGATAGACGAGTAGGGATGAGTTTATCTGAGTTTTGACTTATACGTGTATCAGAGCCAGGGCAGCAGCACTAGAAATTTGCAGAAAACACAAAAATTTGAATGTACTCCTACTAAATCCCTCAATCTCTTCACTTTGGGACCAGTTTGCTTTGCAAGATATTGTTCACAACCGTTAAACATATAAATTAGTGTCAACTTATATCATTGTATTGAGTAATTGACCAATCTTGATTCATTGAGATTTCGCGAGTATTTACAGTATAGAGGATGTATGTATCTTATATTTTCAGACCAGTTCACCAGAGGGATAGTCAAGATGGCAGGCATAAAAGAAGAATCAAGTAACAAAATGTTTGGGGGATGGCAGAAAGTATTCAGCCATGACAGGTAACACAACATAAATAAATACATGTACATGTATCGAGTAAAATTAGTGTACTGTAGCATTGGAAGAAAGGAGACACAATCCAATATTCTAGTCTCAAAAATTAGGAAATAGGCAAATTAAATGATTAGGCAAAATTACCACTTATACAGTATTTTGTTTTGTTTTCTTTTATAATTAATTGAAACTCAAATCAATAAAAGTGACAAAAAGGTACAGTATACACAATAGTAAAAATAATTCTTTTTTGTACAACACATTTGTAACAAGAAAAATATGTAAGGTAATTGTTTTACTACATTTTCTTTCTTGTTTTCAGCTCAAGTCTGAAATGTTCTATGAAATTTGGCATCTACCTACCCCCAAAGGCAGACTCGGAGAAGGTGCCAGTCATCTATTGGTTATCCGGTCTAACATGCACTGAGCAGAACTTTGTAACAAAAGCTGGAGCTCAAAACTTTGCTGCCAAACACAATGTAATCTTAGTTGCCCCAGACACCAGCCCAAGTAAGTGGACATCTGGTTTACTGTATGGACAAGGTACTCATCTGGACAAAGATAATTTTACATGAAAGGTGTCCTGTAGGTTACTGCATTTTAAGGTATCATGTACCACAGTAAAATGTTGCATATAAGGTGACATGTACATGTAGGTTACTACATATAAGACAGGCCCGTAGCCAGGGGGGGTTCGCAGGGTTCGGGCGAACCCCCCCCTGGCCAAAAATTCTTTCAAAATCATGCAGTTTTTCACCATTTTGAGCACTTCTCAAGTGATTTTAGCCATATTTGGGCCAAAATTGTCAAATGTGACCCCCCCTGGACATTTTTGAAAAATGAACCCCCCTTGGCAAATCCGGGCCTGTAAGACATCATAGAGATTGAAAAGAAAAGGTTCGGTTATAAATGAAAAGGTGCTTCTTTCAAAACAAATGTACAATACATGTGCTGTTGGACGATCACTATGCTGTATCTGTCTCTTATTTGTTGGCGAAATCTATAATGCCCTCAGACCAGAAAAGTTTCAGATTTAGACCCTCTCTGGTGCATTCTGAACATATCTCAGAACAACATTCCCAATGATAAAACAAGAAAAAATTGTGTATTTAGAAAACTGAACTTGACTTTGACTAAAATTTTTTGACTTTTACGAAAATGTACATTTTGCACTTATTCTTCAAAGTATTTACATACTGTATGGGTTCCTGGGAAGCTATACATGGTATAGAATTAAATGAAATGAGATCTTCTATGCTTAATGTAGACTAGATACTGACATAGTGTCATTTATGTCATTACACTTTCACTTTAATTAGCTCTAGAGTTTTCAATTCTAGGCTCGGTTTCAGATCTAAAAAAATCTGGGAAGCACGCCACACGCGAAGCGCAATCTAGGGGAATCGGGGGGGGGGGGGGGGGCATGGCCCCAGAAAATTTTCAAATTTAGACCCCCTCTGGGTATATCTCAGCACAATATTCCCAATAATAAAAACAAAAAAATTGTGTTTTTAGAAAACAACTTGAATTTGACTAAAAAACTTTGACTTTTACTAAAATATACATGTTGAACTTATTCTTCAAAGTATTTACATACTGTATGGGTTCCTGAGAAAATATACATGGTAAAGAATTAAATATAATATGAAAAATTGGATCTTCTATGCTTGATGTAGACCATATACTGACATAAAGTATTAAAGTATCACTTTCTTTGACTTTAATTAGCTTTCAATTCTAGACTCGGTTTCAAATTTAAAAACATCTGGGAGGGGGGGTTGGTTGCCCCCAACGCCCTCCCCCTTCTGACGCCAATGAAACATACATTGATAATTTGACACAATTTGTTTAAATTAAATGATTTTTCATCTTCAGGGGGAGTTAACATAGAGGGAGAAGATGACAGCTATGACTTTGGAAGTGGAGCTGGCTTTTATCTGAATGCAACTACAGAGAAGTGGAAGACAAATTACAACATGTACACATATATAACTGAAGAGGTAAGTGTTATCACCCTATGTTGAAGATATGAGTTGTCACATTGTGCTGAAGAGGTTAGTTTTCACCCTATGTTGAGAGAGGATGTTATCATCCCATTTTAAAGAGGTAATACTGTGTTGAAGAGGTGAGTTGTTACTCTGTGTTGAAGAGGTTAGTTGTCACCCTATATTGAAGTCTTAAAAGGTTTATGTGATATTGCTCTCCATGTAAAAAGTAAAAAATCCCAGGATACTGATTGGGATTACTCAGTGATTTCACCAGCATTAAGCAAGAAAATCCACTTGCATTCACTTGAAAATGACAAAAATCATGCAAGATAGGCATATTTTGACCAAATATAGTTCGTCCACCTGAGATTGAATTCTTGGAGAACATTGTTACTTATGTATTTCTCTCCATTAAAAATTACATCAAAATTAGAGCAATAGTAGTCAATTTCTGTTCAATTGTTGCTAAGTCAAGTCTTTGGATAAATCATACCTGAGGGATCATCTTAACAAATATCAGGCTGTGCCAAACTTTTTCCATTTTCTGTTGGTACAATTAACTGTTATACAGAGTCCCTTGTTTATGTCCCAAAGCTGGGGACCCAAATGCCGCTAAAAGGAGGGACTCCATACAAGAAGGCTATGCTCTTACAAATGAATGGAACAAATTTGAAGAAAAACGGTGCAGTTTGAGATTAACGGTTGTTTTTGTGTATCGTTGGACCTCATGAATATATGTTTGTTTTCTCATAAAATGAAACTGTTATTCTTTTCATAAGATCTATATTACACGAATTTCAGTTTGAATGAATGATGATTATTTCTTGATTTTATGTTGTTTTGTTTTCAGTTGCCGAAGGTAGTGTCAGAAAACTTCCCCGTGATCCCAGGTAAACAATCAATTATGGGACACAGGTGAGAGCCTTTAAATACTTGATCATATGTACTTGTGTAATCCGCTTACATGGCGAGAGTTACTAACTGTTGCATAATGTAGCATCCTTTTTTTCACAAACAGTATATTATTACTAAAAAGCAACTGTCTTCTTAATCATATATCTTTGGGGTTTAATCTGAACTGTTTTTTCTTTTGTATTAATAAAATTAATGATAAAAATGATTTTTCTAGATTGAGGCTATGATCAAGCTTGTTACTGTGTGCAATGATGACAATTTAAATGTTTTATGTTTAACTAAAAATTGAATAATTGTTATATTGGAAGTTTAAATATTCTACTGTTTTTAATTTTATTTTGTGTTATATTTTCAGTATGGGTGGACATGGTGCAATATCAATAGCTCTGAAGAACCCTGGTAAATACTCCTCTGTTAGCGCCTTTGCACCCATTTGTAACCCCATTGAGTGTCCCTGGGGACAGAAAGCATTCACTGGCTACCTGGGGGAGGACAGGGAGACATGGAAGGTAAGCTCTTGTGATTTATTTTAGGTCTAGGTTATTTCTTTTCAATCCATCCAATTTATGAGTACATGTATGTACTACAAACTTATGAAGTTGCTCTGTACCACTAAAAAAAATGAAATTGAAAGGAGTTTAAGAAAGTTCGACCATTTCTCTTTCTGATTAATAGTACCCTCTCTTACACAATGTTAGAATGAAAATATGTCTCTTTAATATAATATATTAGTATTGGAAAATTGAATGTGATTAAAATGTTGTTTTGAAAATAATTTGAAGAAGAAGTGCAATAAAATTTGTACGGAACACCTCTGTAAGTGAAACACCTCTGTAAATGAAACACCTCTGTAAGTTGAACATCTGTGTTAGTGAAACACCTCTGTAAGTGAAACACCTCTGTAAGTGAAACACCTCTGTAAATGAAACACCTCTGTAAGTTGAACATCTGTGTTAGTGAAACACCTCTGTAAGTGAAACACCTCTGTAAGTTGAACGCCTCTGTAAGTGGAACACCTCTGTAAGTTGAACATCTGTGTTAGTGAAATACTTTACAGAGTCCTACGACAACTTGATTTAATGCTTGATAAACCACTGTACTGTATGTGGAACACCTTTCAAGTGGAACATCAGGTGTTCAACTTACACAGGTTTTACTCTCTAGTTGGTTTAATTGTACTTTCTAGTAGCACCTGCCTCCTGCACCTACATGCATGTATGATATACATTAACATATAAAATAATGATTTTTATTGAAGGCCTATGACTCTACAGTTCTGGTAAAATCTTACAATGGACCACCATTGGAAATTCTCATCGACCAGGTATGTAGAGATATGTACTGGAAGGGTTAGAATATAGAATACCTCAGAGAGATAAATCCTATATTTAAAACTGACCCAACCTTAGTGATGCATCTCGTACATGTTATGGATAATATTTTGAAAATATAAAATTTCCCTTTCAATATTCAATGAACTGTTAAACATATCCTACAGACAGTGCACATAATTCCCTGGATCGGGTCAGATACCCTCTTCTCCAGGCTTGAGTGGAACATATAGAATATATCCAACCCCAACCCATTCCTCATAATATTATAGTACTATGTTATATATTCCCAGATGTTTTTCACCTGAAACCCAATAGAGTATGAGATAAGATACATTTACTCAATATACAAATATACATGTAGTTTGAGAAATATATGTACACAGTAAATCAAGTTTTGGTGCATATATCACTTATGGTGCTCCTGATAGTATGAGATTCCTTTAACAATGGAGTCAATATGATAGGGATTTGCAGGTACAGAAATAAATGAAACTTTCTTGAAAGTGAAAACAGTTGAAAATGAAATTTTGGGATTAATGAGAATCTGGCAAAAAATGTTTTAATGATTTAATAGGGAAATAGAAATTAAAGATTAAGGGATGTATTCTACATTGCAGGGTAAAGCTGATAATTTTTATACTGCGGGACAATTACTGCCTGATAACTTTGTAGCTGCCTGTGCTGAAGCAAAAGTCCCAGTCATTCTTAGAATACAAGAGGTAAGAAAGTCTCAATCATTCTTAAAATACAAGAGGTAAGAAAAAGTCTCAATCATCCTTAGAATACAAGAGATAAGAAAAAGTCCAAGTCATCTTTAGAATACAAGAAGAAAGAAAAAGCCCCAATCATCTTTAGAATACAAGGTGTAAGAAAGTCTCAATCATTCTTAAAATACAAGAGGTAAGAAAAAGGCCCAGTCATCCTTAGAATACAAGAGGTAAGAAAAAGTCTCAATCATCCTTAGAATACAAGAGGTAAGAAAAAGGCCCAGTCATCCTTAGAATACAAGAGGTAAGAAAGTCTCAATCATTCTTAAAATACAAGAGGTAAGAAAAAGGCCCAGTCATCCTTAGAATACAAGAGGTAAGAAAAAGTCTCAATCATCCTTAGAATACAAGAGGTAAGAAAAAGTCTCAATCATCCTTAGAATACAAGAGGTAAGAAAAAGTCTCAATCATCCTTAGAATACAAGTGGTAAAAAAATAAGGCATTTGTTGAAGGTGGTCTGTATAACCCTAGAACATGATGACAACATTGTCTGTACTTAGTGCCCGGACTACGTGATTATATAAGCTGAATTAATTGTAACACCAATTTTGTAGATATCAATTGCAAGTATACATGTGGTACATATTGGAAGTAGATGGACAGTGCTTCTTGTCGCTTATCATGTAACAGAACAATTCAGACCCTATAACTATAACTTTTGTTGAAATATTTTGTTGAAAAAATCTCTTATTTGTGCTTTATTTTCAGGGGTATGATCATAGTTATTTCTTCATTGCATCTTTCATGGAAGACCACATAGCCCATCATGCTAAAGTGTTGAATGCATAAGCCAGTGTATAACAACCCCTGTGAAAACAGACAAGGATAAGAGACAGTGTATTCATAAGTGACTTGTCCATTCACTGGTCAAGAACTGAAGCGGTTTATCAACTTTATATGATAGATACATTAATGAATGGAAAATGAGAATCCCCAAATTGTGATTTGAGACTGTTTGATTTGTCATTAAAGTAAAAGATGTTACGCAGTTTAGAAGCTGAATGCCCTGCTTACTATAAAATGTATGATTGAATGTTTCATCTGCAGATGTTAAGTCTGTTTGAGGTCATTATTATAATGTCCCTTTGGCGAATATAACATAGCTGTAATTTGAAAATTGCAAAACGTGAAATATATACATGATTATTTTTATAAGAACTTATTTTCAGTTGTTTAGTTTTAATTTTGTGTAGCAATCACTATCACTCGTTTGTTATATAGGACCACCATCCACTGGAGGGACTATCATCTGATTCATCTCCTTGGGGGACCTTCATTCCCTAAAGGAGGGGGTGGAGAACTGTCATTCATTTTGGGCCATAGATTAAATAATTTAATTTGTTAGGGGGGTTAGCCATAAAAAGTAGTTTAAACTGTCAGTCGTCAGTTTAATTTGCAAATGCTACGCAAGCCATAGTTTGCTCCAACCGCTGTAACTGTCATGAATTGAGTTTATGGACTGTTAGCAGCGTATGGTGTTTGACCCTTATTCAAATCCTGTTTTTACAATGAACGTGGATGGTATTAACTTTTTCATTTGTTCCCAAAAATTGCTCTTGTCACATCGGATCTCTTTAAATATTTTGGCTCACTTATTGTCCCGTATACAGTACCTAGAGGTTTAAAGTTCAGTTCAAAGGTTCACTGAATATGAGTTATTTAAATTAGAGTGGGGTGATTGCTTATTCTGATTTTGTATCTTCTACATGATTGATTCGAATGATGAAAATGACACTGAGTTTGATGTACAGCCAACATCATTTTATTTTTGGCTCACACACAGTGAGCTTATGAGATGGATTTATTTGTTAGTGTGTTGTTTCTCCTGTGCTTGGCGTTATTGTGAGAGTGACTGACTCACTAATTGATTGATTCATTAACTTTTTGTGTTTGCTCGTTTTTTGATGATGTTAATGGAGTAAGTAAACAAATAAACCTACAATGTTAATATGTTGAAGTGAAAAAATGTATCTTGACAAATGGTGGCCGTTAGACGATAAATGACATCTAATTCTTATGACAATTTGGCTATTGCCAACATTTTACTGTGTAAGTTTACATTCTTTAACCTTGACTGTAACTCGTAAACTAGTAAAAAACTAGTAAACTAGTAAAAGATTTTTAGAAGTACTTTTACATGTAGATTTCAAATATGACATCACTTTGACTGAATTTTGAATATTTAATGACGTAAATCAAGATTATTTCTACTCGCATCTAGTCCATTATATACCTATTTTTGATTCAATACCATTTTAGCCATCATTCACTTTTGAGCAACAGTATGTGAGCCCAGTACCCACGGTACTATTTTATAGAACTTAATTTGACTCTCATTCATCATTTATTAAGCAATGAAAAATTAGTTTGCATCATGGATGACAAAATGTTTCTACTTTCCTGGTGAATGTCGAGTCTCGCATCATACGAATGTAATTTTATGCGATCTGCCTGCATATGGTGTATATGTCTATACGATTTATTTACCATTTGCCAAATATGAACAAAAAGAAAACACATCTTTGTATCACATTTACGATTGACCAAATATCAACAGAAATAATACACAATTAGCATTAAAAATAATTACATTTTGTAAAATAATAATTGATTACTTGAATTAACATGTCATATAGCAGCGGTAAAACTGCTCCGTTTGGGTGACTGCATCGTGCTTTAGCATGTATACAGGTATATGCAGGGTGAGCCAAAAGGCAACCCAAACAAATATTAATAACCCAGTCATTCAGTATGAGTTCAATGTCATTGTTCAATGATCTTGCATTCTACTAAGTTTCATTGTTCTCATTCCAATGGTCGTGATTTTTGGTTCATTTTACATGCTCAAAATGCCGGTCTCGTCTGTCTCTGGAGGGAAATTTGAATGCATCGGGTGAAGTTTTCTGATAATCTCTTGTTTCAACTCTCTGTTGATTCCTGGGCTGTTAGTGTAGACATTATCTTTGAATTAGCCAAAAAGGTAAAAAATCTTGGGATCCATATCGGGTGAGCGTGGCATGTTTGGGCAAATGGAGCCCGTTTTGTACAATGATCATAAAATAGTGACCGACTAAAACACCCTTGGTATACGCAGCTAACGAAAATTGACCGGCACGGGTCAAAAGCTGGACCGGCACGGGTTAACGGTTTTATTTGAATTTAAAACAGCCATAACTTGCTCAATATTGACTTCCTCGTGTCTAATTTGAAATATATGATTCCTCCCGATGCTTTTAAGTACCCCAATTTTTTACAGATTTTTAAACGGACCAAAACTCTCTAAATGCGCATTTATGCTCTTTTCTCTCGAGAACGACTGTCTCATTTTCACGATAACTTTTATTTAGTACCTCTAACATATAAGATCTATTTTTCCCCATCAAGGTATGATGTAAATGACATGCTATTTACATCTTGTGAGTTTCAATGACGCGCGTTTGATTTTATAAAAAATGCCAAACTTTGTGACAAAGAATTTCATCAGCTATTGCCTCGAACCGGTCCGTCTTCTCGTTGCAAGCAGATTGCCCCGAACCGGTCCGTCTTCTCGCTGCAAGCAGGATGAAATTCTTTGTCACAAAGTTTGGCATTTTTTATAAAATCAAACGCGCGTCATTGAAACTCACAAGATGTAAATAGCATGTCATTTACATCATACCTTGATGGGGAAAAATAGATGTTATATGTTAGAAGTACTAAATAAAAGTTATCGTGAAAATGAGACAGTCGTTCTCGAGAGAAAAGAGCATAAATGCGCATTTAGAGAGTTTTGGTCCGTTTAAAAATCTGTAAAAAATTGGGGTACTTAAAAACATCGGGAGGAATCATATATTTCAAATTAGACACGAGGAAGTCAATATTGAGCAAGTTATGGCTGTTTTAAATTCAAATAAAACCGTTAACCCGTGCCGGTCCAGCTTTTGACCCGTGCCGGTCAATTTTCGTTAGCTGCGTATACCAAGGGTGTAAAATAGACAACTGAAACTTAGTAGAATGAAAGAACATTGAACAAATTTAGCGAAATATGACTTTAAACCAATGCTGGATGAATGAGTTATCATCATTTGTTTGGGTTACTTTTTTTGGCCCACCCTGTAGTTGTTAAAATAAAGTATTTAATTATTAAAACAGTTTATTAGTCATATTACACGAAAAAATACATTTTGAAGTGACGTGAATAATTGGGGTTATCCCTCAACTTAAAAATTTCATAAATTAAAAGTTGCATACAAAAGTCATCTAGTACAAACACGAATGGTCCTCTGGTTGAAAGGTTGCCATATAGCAATGGGGTTTGCCATAATTATGTCAATAAGGCTGTAGCTTCCCAAAATCAAGGCAAATATGCAGCATAAAATATAGGGATTATATGTTTATTTTCTATATCGATATTTTGTGAAGCTACGGCTGCCGTGAGAGCACAATCATGTGACCGAGGCTTAAGTATTTTTGTTCAAAACTGAACAAAATACTCATCGGTCGGGCACAGGTGTAAAAGGATAGGAGGTCCTATCACATTATGGTCCTAATCTCGATTGATTTATATGAAGAAAAACTGGCTACGCTCGCCTTGCGGTCTCCGTACGGCGTATCCAGTTTTTTACAGACCGCAAGGTCGCCGTAGAAATTATAAATCGGAGTTGTAATATTTGTTCATTTCTGAGGTCCCAGTAGATATCAACTGGCTCAACAAGATTGAATCATTATTTGTCAATGTTTCACGATCACTTTTCATTTGATATTACATCTTAGCACTATGAATAACATTTATAAATTGTCCTGATGTAAATAAAATGAAAAAAGCATTATTTATCAACAGAAATTTAAAATTCACCGTGCGGCTGCCGTGGGAAATGTGACTGCAAAAGTATGAGAGCGCAGAAATTCTACGGCGAGCGTAGAAAAGCTATTGGCCGCAGAAATGATAGACCGCACTGCGGCCGTGGTAAATGTGACTGGGGTGTTACGTAACCGTCTGTAATTGCCTTGTAGAAAAAAGTGGCAATGTATTTCTATTTACAGTCCTTGTAAAGTATTTCTACAAATGTGTAGTCCGTCTCCACTCAGCCATTTCAACCTGGTCTTTCTCTTCCATTACTTCCAATTCCTTTCAAAATCGGTCAACCCGCTTTCTACAGTTTGTCAACAGTTCACTACTTTGCTCGTTAACAAGGTGGTTAAAAAGCATCTCAACCTGGCCCATAAGAAGTTTGATTTCTCGTCTTAATATTTTTCGATTCTATTTCCAAGCTATCTTTCTTGTTCTTCTAATAATATAATATTCTTCTCTGCATCAGCAAGTTCTTTTTCGAGCACCTCTATTTTTGACTCTCGTGCAACTGCCTTTTCTTCCATTCGCTCCATGGCTCTCTCAACCACCAACAACCTGTGCTTAGCTTTAACTAATTTTGTTTCAGCTTCACGAACCCTCAATTTTGCATTTTTGGTATTTTCTTCAAGTTCCTTGATTTTCTCGTCTCCTGTTGTTTCGTTCTCTTCAAGATCTTCCCTAACGCCCTCGACATCACGCGAACCATCGGATATTTGTTCGAGTTTTTCTGTCATTGTTTCGAGACGTTTTTTGGCAGCTTCTAGTTCTTTATTTAACAAATTGCTTCTCCTATCAAGACTAGCCACCTCATTTTCAGCAAGTTCCAGTTTCATATTTTCAAGCTGAATATCTCTTTTCGTGGCGCTTGTTAAGGAATCTGCAGTGTCTATGTCATTCGAAATACTTGCCAGTTTTGCTTTCAATTTTGCAAGTTTACCCCCTTCCATTATGAATCAATTCAGAAGGTAATATCAACTCAAGAAAAAGTAAGTTCCTTTCTGGCAACTTGTGCCGTTTGATACAACTGAGACGTTTGACTTGAAGTGGTGGAACAGTATAAATACTACGCATGCGCCCGGCGTAGATAACCTATTCACCTTTCCGGCAAGGAGGATTGGCTCCCAGAGTGCACCACCGATATTCTGTCCCATATATGGGTATGTCGTAATACAAAATTCGAATTCAAACAGCCGCCATTTTGTTCACTTCAACATTTAAATCGTGAATTTTGGTCTTATTTCCAAACGAAAAATTCCAAAACTCACAAGAAATGATCGAGATATTGGTTCGAATCTTTTGAACTGTTTATTTTGAATTTATAGTCGGTTTTAATTTCAGAAAATAACGACATTTCGACGTTTTCATTGTTGGAAAATATCGAGTTTCGATCCTGGGAGCCAATCCTCCTTGCCTTTCCGGCAAGGCAATTTGGTAGTTACTGAGATTAGAACTGGCAAGGAAGTTTGAATATTACCACAACATTCGTAATGCCCATCGTCTAAGGAAATACTTGGTCAAAAGCGATCCTTATAGAAATATTTCAACTAAATTGTTCCACGTCAGGCAACGGAAGATCGAGTTTTTCGTTCAATTGGTGAAAGTTTTTAAATTAGTAGGCCAGTCAATTGGTGAAAAACAGCCTAACCTAGGACAAATTGCAATAATATAAGTTTTTATCGTGTGATCTTAGGCCAATGCAATACATTTTACTCAGGAGATAATCCCTAAGAATTATTCTGTATTATCAGTATTGCTACTGAGATTGTCCCCGCCTCCGTACCAATATTTTCTGTATTGCTATGGAGATGATCAATGGGGACAATCTCAGTAGCAATACAGATTGGTACAGCACAAGAACTGACCAAACAGAGGGCTTCAATTAACAGATCATACGATAATTTGCAAACTTAGAGTTTAAATTGTTGATCAATATTCACTTTATAACATATTATCAAAGTAATATGTAACGTTTATGTAACAATGTAACACAAAGTAACATTTTTTTCAAAAGTGCCAAGGTGGGGGTCCTAATCGATAATTTTTCAGAGAGTTAGATTGTTATTTTACTATCATGGGGACTTTACTTGAAAGAAAACATATTAACTTAATAAAAACATTCTATTTATGGCCAGAAAGTACCCATGGTGAAAGATATGACTGTCTAAAATCACTTGCCATACTGCACATGCACCTTTAAATTTTGTTCATTAATGTCATATGTAAGTCACAATCACGCTTTATATCCACTAGCGACCCACTCACTAATTATTCACAGTTCACTTCGTTAACTCCCCAGTGTCCATTAAACCGTTTAAAGCATGGTTTTACCTCGTTTATATTTAGTATATCAATTCCTGAACACAAAAATACGTGTGTGGTATGAACTATTTTTATTAATTAATTTAGTGATATCCCCGATCCAAAGTACATTCAAAAACGTATATACCTACTCACTGCATAGTCAAAAAGTTAAATGTATATAATATACAGTTTAGCCATATTACACGAAATTATACATCTGAAAGTGACTTTATTAGCAGTGGTTATCCTTATTGCATTTAGCTTAAAATCATATGAACTATACAAAAGTCGTAGATTAATATAGCAATGAGCACTTCAGGTCCTCTTGTTCAAAAGACATTGTATTTGAGCTTGGCTATAATAATTTCAGATGGGGAGGTAGAACCTTTTTAGAACATCGTGCTTTAGTTTAGTTACAAGCCAGGCTGAGGTAAACGCAAGGATTTTTTTAATAATAAATACTCTTTATTTCTTAAAATTACAAATAAATTTACACTGTTATTCACGGCGTAATCGCCCAGAAAGTGCATTTCTACTGCCGCTTTAATTTGAGTGAATTTAAATTACAATATAATATAACATTAAGTCAAAGTCAAAGTTAGAGTAAGAAAAATATACAAATTAGATACTATCCGAAATGCAAGGAGTGCATGTTTACCAATATTACATGATGTGATAAATTATGTCATTGTTCAGTAAAAAATTACAATACTTTCTCGTCAATATTACAATCAATAGGGAGGTTAAGTTACACGTTTTTTTGAAAAACCTATACGTGACCTTGTAGAATTATGGTCTTCTATGGATTAGTTCTCCCATTGATTTGTATTGTTTACTTGGCAGATTGAATATAAAGGTATACGGAAAATAATTGTCCCTGGGAAAGCCTTGAGAGCGTGACAGTAATCCCCGGGGTTCGAAATATTACACGTTCGCGTACAGGTTCTCTTCAACGTGTTACGTAATCTCCGTATTATTACAAAACGACAACTAGCTGTTTTCTCCACAAGTTGAAAAAATCACTCAAAACTCAACTGAGATCTGCTTTATATAAAGATTCTGAAGATTTTTATCTACGCTTAACACTCCAATCACATTTGTCTCACGGCGGCCGTGCGTCGATCAATTAAATCATTGAATTCCTGCGGTGAGCGTAGAAAAACTACGCTCGCCTTGCAGTCTCCGTACGGCGTATCCCGTTTTTTTACAGGCCGCAGGGTAGCCGTAGTGTTATAATATTTGTTCATTTCTGCGTAGAAATCAACAGGACTTTGCCAGACCACAGAAATGTCCAACGGTGTCCGCACATCGGGTTTGCCGTAACGTTGACTTGCGTCTGCAGTAGGGTTTAATGGGTAATGTACCTTTGGAAACCGTTTTGATGTAGGTTTTCGGTCATATCTTTGCTATAAACACAACAAAATACGTATACTGTAGTTTGATGTAAGGTCACTGATACAAAAGCAACTTATATTCCACTTGCACTTTTTATTTGATAGGCTACTATATCTTAACACTACAAACAACATTAAATTGAACTGATCAGATGTATATAAGATAAAAAGAAGAATTAACGTTAATTAACAGTAATTCAAAACTCGCCGTGCGGCTGCCGTAGGAAATGTGACTGCAAAAGTATCCGACAGCAGAAATTCCCATCTTCGTTTCCTCAGCTCCCGTGAACGCAGTGAAGACCGGAGCGTGCGAAGATAAGAAATTCCACGGCGAACGTACAAATGTTACTGGCCGCAGAAATGATAGACCGCACGGTCGCCGTAGGAAATGTGACTGGGGTGTAACAATTTAGTGTCCCAGAATGGTCCCAGAATGATCAAATTCGCTCATTTTTGAAACAGCAAAGGGATCTGCTGCAAATGGTAGTATAATAAATTTGGATTTCCCAACTTGTTTATAAATCACCAAATTGATACGAATAAGTTGAAGCATTGAAGTAGGTGAGTTGTCAAACCTGTTTTACATCTTCTAACGCCAAAACATTACGGGGGTTACTCTAATTATATTTTTAACCGACATTGCAGCTTTGCTAGGACGACTGGGCATCCGCCCATGTAATATTGACTGCTAAACTGGACTAAAATGGCCCAAGTGATACACATGATTGACTACAGGAATCAAACGAACCATGAATGTTAATTTACCAAAGTTGAGTTCACAAGGGAAAACCTGCCAACTTTGGTTAGACACACTTCATTGAATGAACACCTCGTATAAAATAATAACATATCAAATCGTATCTAAAATATATATAAGATTACATTCAATATGCATTATACTGTGGGAGATCTTTCCCGTGAGTATTAGCTTAATCTTGACTAAAAATGATACAAATTTACCCAGACCTTAATGTTCTTATAACACAATTCATGCAGTTCTGGTAAAACACCAGCGCAATGTCAAATAGCCATACAAGTCTGTACATTTAAACGTTCACAAACGATATTAATGTTATTTTATAGGAGGGAAGACTCGACTTGTTAGAAATGTTTCTGTCGAGTCAGGCTTTCCTGTTATTGTCTTGTATAAAAAGTCGCCATATATTTCCAGGCCTTGTACCACCTCTATAAATGCCTTGTCCATCTCCTCTCTTCTTGAAGTTGTTTTGATTTTACATTTCCAAAAATTCGAATCCTCTACCAGTCAGTTATTTCTGCAGTTTGTTAATAGTTCAGCAATCATCTTATGTTGCTCGCTTATCAATATCTTCAAGTTCTTCAAGATTAAGAGATCCGATATCTAATTCGAATCTGTCGCCCTCCCTCACATCCCTCAAATTTCTTTCTAATGATCGTAGATGGTCAAAAACATAAGGCAATTCTTTTTCAAGCTGCTCCAATCTCGAGTCAGCTGACGACGCCCTTTCTTCCATGTTCTCCAATTCGGCCTCACGCTCCTGAATCTCTATAGCAACGTCATCATATTTCCTTTCAGTTTCTTCAGCCTTTTGCGTTGCCATGGAGTACTCCTGTTCTAGTGATGCCATCCTTTCTATGTCGGGCCGGTTGCGGTTTTCACGCAGTTCCCAAGCTTTGGACTCATATGCAGTTGTTTCTGCTTCTGCGAGTTGCTGTTGCTTGTCTGCGAGATGGCTCTCGATCATATCTATTTCACTTTCTAGCATTTCCAGTGTCTTGTTGAGCTCATTTGCCTTTATTTCGGCCTCTTCTCTGCGCGTTTTTACCTGTTGAAGTTCATCTTCTTTTTCTTTTAGTGGGCGGTATGCATCGGATAGTTGATCCTTTAGCGTAATCATTTTATTTCTAATTGCTTGCATGATGAAAGTATATCAAAACAAGATGTATTCAGATTCTGTGTTGACAAATTGCAATCGTGACGTGTGATTCACTTACAACTATTCACTTCATATGTACGATGTACTACGCATGCGTCCCGTCGTTGAGTTGATTAACTACAGGGTGATACAGAAATAAGTTACCCACTAATTTTCTCAATAACTTATATAGGAATCATTGTGATCTTTTATGTAGATAAAGTGTTCAATGGAAACATCACTTTTCTTGGATAGCATCAACAATTTTGATCACCTTTTCCGCTTACGCATGCTCTCTGTAAAATCCTCAAAATGTGTAAAATCCTCAAAATGTTCGAAATTGAATTTCCTGAAATTATGATTTCTGTCTTAGCCATTATTTGAGCCATTTCTAGATTGCTTTCATTAGCGTACACATACATTATCAATAATATGTCATCTTTATTCATTTTTCTTCAACAACTTTGTCTATGATAAACTTACTCGCTTACTGCATAGGGTAAATTTTGAGAAAGCCAGATTTTCTAATTTACATTTGAGTGGTTTTGCGTCACGGAAAATGAGATATATTTCCAAATTTCCGAGTTGTCGATGTAATGCAAGCATACCAATCATATATCAACCAGCACTCTATATACACATAAAATATCACGGAGATTCCTTAATAGATATATTATTAAGTTATTCCAAAATTAATGGGTGGCATGATTATGCCACCCGGCCGGGGTATAAAAAGAAAATCCCCGGGCCGACTTATGCCAAAGACTTTGCTCGAAATACTTGAAATAGTGTTTAGTTGATATATAGTAATTTTGTGTTAAGTGTATACAGTGGGTCCCAAAAAACGCAACACAAAAAAAGATTGTAGAATCACAATCAATTTTCTTTAGTTTACCATGCATGCAGCCACGTGTCTCCTCTTTCCAATGGTATTTGTTCATATATGACCACTGAATAATCATTACTTTTACACAACGGGCCAAAACCTGCTGTGGAGCAAGTTCTAGACATTGCAACAGTTAACAGAGAACATCACTGAGATTGCTGTTCTCCGCCAGAATCCACAGATCCACAAAGAGGTGTTCGAATGACAAGGAGAGATGAGCCAATCTGTGTGTGTAGAGAAATGGTAGCCATTTGAAAGGGCGTGGAATGTAATCTTTCATTGGATGACAGGCAATAATTTTGACTTAATTGTTTATCTTCATCGTAAACTAAATGAAACCGATGTAATTATCACTGGTTTTGTGGTTAACAATGTTTTTGCTTGTTGCGTATTTGGGACGCTCTGTATATTGAGCAAATGGCATATTTACAACGTTTTGGAAAGTCTGAACGCCATCAGCTACGGCATTCCACTTCTTTTACTAATTAGTACGCGCACTAGTACGATTTTTGGTTGATGGACATGAATCTAACTACTCAGATGCATGGTCCGTACATTAATGTCGGCGTATCCCAAGGGTCGATACTTGGTCCCTTTATGTTCTCATTATATATACATGACATGCCTGATAGATTAACGAACTTATCTTCAATTTTTCCTGAGAGGTTCTCAACATGTATTTGTCAGATGTCTGCTAAACAATATAACCATATCTTTATTTTTGTAGAAATATTAAAAAATACCCCAAGATTTTTCCATTTTGCGGCTATTTTTAGTCATTTTTCCTTCTTAATATGCATATTATTTACAAACTTGAGAATATATATCTGCATCAAAATATTACACAATTATTTGAAGCATATAAAAAATAAGTGGGTAACAGCCGGGCAGCAAGGCCCTTAGTTTCAATTGTCTACGTTGTTTGGCATTAAAATGAGGTATTCTTCCGCGGAGAGAAAATAGATCGTTCATTGGATTTCTGTAAAATTGACAGCCTGTTTCAAACTAAGTTTAGGCAAAATTTTAAATGTATAATTATCCAATATTATGTGAGAGTGTAGTCTCAAGCGTCGGTCTGATATACTTTTGAACGAATATTTTATGCATGGGAGTTCCTGTTCTGTTTCACCTTGTGGCCTAATCAAAGTCTTTTCGACCAAATCACCTATGTCTGCTGGATCTAGGAAAGGTATTTACCCAAGGTTTTTTGTCCTAAAGAGGTAGATACTATACATACATACAGGGTGGGCCAAAAAAATTTGCAACCTTTTTAGAAGGCAAAAAAAGTATTATAACATTATGGTATTGACATGAAATTTTTTTTACAGAAACTTAAGGATAGGCATATTTTACCATTTAAATACTCAAGCTAATACTGACATCAATTTTTTTTGTCAGATGTTTGAATATTAATGGTAAATTGTTCATTTGTCCGAGATTTACCATTTTCCGAGAAAATCGGACTTTCTTTGATTTTATGTGATCAACAATAACACATTCATTATGTTTACTAAATCTGCTACAATCTTTGATAACTGTTTAACCAATGTCTAGTACAGGTTTATATCAGGATCTAGTCACTATGGTAATATTGTTACACTGTATTAATTATTTATTAAACAAATGTTCTATGCATCCGCCTTTCACCTTAACAATCACATGGAGACGAGAACTGAACTGGTCAATGGCGAGATCCAGCAGTTCTTGTGGTAGTCGTCTCCACTTATCCTGCAGAACTTCTTATAGTTGATCAATAATTTGTGGGGTATAACCATTAACTACAATGTGTAATAGTCCCAGGAGTTGGCATCTGGTGTATTGGGTATCCATTCGACTCAGGATTAATCTTCTTCTAAAGGGACATCTTTCAAGAATGGGGGCTCTTTCAGCCCCAAGTGATTACATATTCCAGCAGGATAGCGCTCCTGACCATAGGCCAAAAGTCACTATGGAATATCTGGAGTAAAATACCCCTTGATTCATTAGTCCTGATGAATAGCCGCCCAATACACCACTTATCAAAGATTGCAGCAGATTTAGTGAACAAAATAAATGTTCTATCGATGATCACATAAAATGATAGAAAATCACATTTTCTAGGAAAATCGGTAAAGTATTTGAATGGTAAAATATGCCTATCCTTAAGTTTCTGTAAAAAAAATTTCATGTCAATACCATAATGTTATAATACTTTTTTTGCCTTCTAAAAAGGTTGCAAAATTTTTTGGCCCACCCTGTATATCACATTTAGTAACCTTTTCTTGCTAACTAAAAAACATTGTTGTTTTTGACTGGAAAAAGTAACAAACTCGAAAAAAGCTCACCCCTATGTTACTTTGACCTACTTTTGACTCAATTTGACCTATTTTTTAGATTTTAATACACCTCCCTCGAGAGTTCTGAATGACCTACAATATGGTACTTTACTTTTTACTGTACCTCTTCAACATTTGAAACGCCCTGTCTATGAAAAATACGTTGTACACATTAGGGTTAACCGACGCCTTGAGAGACACAGTAATCTTAAACGAAAAATAATGGTAAATACATACATGTATGTATCGCATTGTAGAAATTGTGGTTTGGATGGCTTATTGAAGACCAAGTTCCAGAACCTTAAAGCACGCAAGTTAAGCAGGCATGCATATTTTGGAAGAAAAAAAGATGAAATAATCTTTAAGATATGTTACTTAGACATTCAATAACATATGATCTATGTACAATACTTAGTTTGAGTAAATGCAGAACTGGCAAAATATGACTTCCAAGAACCAATTGCAGGGCATACCAATTTTTCACAACGGCTATATTTTTAAATAACACTTGAATGAAAAGATGACGTACGATTGATAATTCTATCAAAAATAAATGAATCCTAGTGTGAGGCAAAAAAACTTCGCCATCTTTCATCTTTCAAAGCTAAAAACTTGATATGGTCGGTACTGGAATAATGTATGAGTGGTAGTTTTGCCTAATCATCAGATCATTATTTAATTTGCCATTTGTCAAAATTCTACCAATTTCGAGAAATTGAATGTTGGAAATATATATCTTCATGATGTTTCAGAAGTTTCTTGTCATTAGGAACATGATAAAAGTTGACCAATTTGACTATGATATTACAGGTACCCATCGCATTCGTTCGACTTCGCTTCTCAAAAGTGTATTTTCATACCAGTTCCAGGGGGATAGTCAATATGACAGGTATAAAAGAAGAATCCAGTAATAGCGCCCAGTTTGGGGGATGGCAGAAATGATTCATCCATGATAGGGAAGTACACAACATCAATCTACGGAAAACTGACGGATACCTACATCGAGTCTTGTTTTAATGTCGCAAACATATTGTTAATACTCATTTGAACAACATGAATTGAAAAGTGATGAAATAGTATACAATAGTAAGAATAACACATATAGCTATTTGATGGTAAGAAGACAAATCAAAGGATAAATGGGATAGAAATAATCTCTAAATAAAGGTAGCAGTGCAATCGATCTGTAGGATGCCTTTTCTTCAAACATCACCAGTGCCATCTTTTTATCAGCCCAAACATGAGAAAACATTTTCATTCCCTTTGCGGCATACGAATCTGGTCGATGTTGAAAGTGTTAATGGAACATTTTATAGATGTCATGCCTAAGAACTAATTCAATTCCAAGATAAAAAACGGTATCTTGATATACAGTATGTCGTAGGTGTTTGCTCGAATTGTAGACCATTTTAGACAAGTCAGATATTCAAAAGTGTATGATATATTTTCAAATAACTTGATTTTAAAGTTGAATAAACAGGTAATAAAACCAGTCTCATTTTTAAATAAATAAAAAGAATTCCACTTTGTTTATATGAGAAACTATTTGTAAAAGATGTCAAATATGTTTATAAATGAGTATGGGCTGTAATACAACCCAACTATTTGTATATGCCACATAATACGGAGTATTATTCTAACATGTTGTCATGTCATTTTTAAGTCTCTGACCCAGAAAGAAAAAGTGTAAATAGTATAGGCAGCATGAAGGAAAGTTTTCATTCATTTCAAAAAAGTGTTAATGTTTTAGATTTTTAAGTAATATTAATATTTGAAATTTATTAAATAGTTTTGATATTAACATTATTTACAAAATATATTTTTCAGAATGGTGACCTTTTTCAAATGTTTAATTGCTCTTTATATGTTTCACTGGTTCTACTTT